TTTATAGTAGAGACGGGGTCTCACTCTTGCTCAGGCTGGTTTTGAACTCCTGACCTTGCGTGATCCCCCCCGCCTCGGCCTCCCAGAGTGCTAGGATTACAGGCGTGAGCCACCGCGCCCGGCCCTATCTGCTATTTTAGGTACATTTTAAACCAATCTCCTGTCTTCAGCTCCATGTCTTTCCCCTGCTTTTCTCAGGTATCTGGGCCTCCGATTCCTGAGCATTTCTAGAGTTTTATCACTGTCAGCTGACTTAGCAGCAGAGTCAGGCACCCTCTGCAGGTGCTTAGGTTTCAGCATTTCCTCTGCTAACCTATTACTTCTCTGTCAGCTTTCTGTCTTCCAGAATTATTTTAAGATCTCTTATTGATCACTATTTCCTTTTATTTATCTTTGTCTTTGTGGGTTAATGCCATGTTTAACCAGAAGTTTAGTTTGCTTTTAAAAGTTGATTATAAAGCTAGGTGTGGTGGCGCGTGCCTGTAGTCCAGGTTACTGGGGAGGCTAAGGTGGGAAGATCGCTTGAGCCCAGGAGTTCAAGACCAGGCCGGCAACAAAGCAGGACCTTGTCTCCAAAATAAATAATATAAAAAGTAAAAAAAAAAAATTAAAGTTGACTATTTTGTGCAATTGAGATTGTAATTATGCTGAAAATGTTAAAAGCTATGTGAATCACATTTTTTTTTGGTATGGCTTTTCTTTCCTTGATATGTGTTTTGTAAATATGACTCTTAATGTATAGTGGTGGTAAAAAAGATTGTGTCTTAATTTCTTCATAAGCATTCCCTGATTCTTCACATAGGTTAGGAATAAACCTATGAAAAATGATCAGTAGCATTCTTTTGAAACTTGCTGAGGTTAACATTTCTGTTTCATTTGTGGTCGCTCCCATGGATACACCGTAGTAACTGTAACCACTGGCAGAGTTTGGAAGTTTCTACATTGATTTTCTTTTCATGGAAGTTTGCTTTCTGACACAGTCTTTCTTATTATTTTGCAGCAAGCGGAATAGCAGTGGGTCAGACCAATTTATGTTATGGACAACTCATCTTTGGATTTACCATTAAAAAGGATACAGGGCAGAATTCAAGATCTGTTTTCTTTAGTGATAGGAATAGATTTTTTATAAAATTCCTAACTGTTCTCATAATCCCAGTAAGTGGAATTGGTACCTTCTAACACTTTACAGTTATGTTTTACTGGATGTTCTGAAAGGGCTGCACACATTGTCTTAACCCAAGGGGCCAAATGGGATGGGATGAAAGAGGAATTTTAAGAAGGGGTCCCTAGCCAGGTAGATTCAGGAGATGCTTTTAGTGTGCCCACTGTGGGTCACATGCTCATTCTTCTGTGATTTGACTCATTTACCTTCATTCTTTTTTTTTGAGACAGAGTCTCACTTTGTTGCCCAGGCTAGATAGAGTGAGTGCCATGGCATCAGCCTAGCTCATAGCAACCTCAATCTCTTGGGCTCAAGCGATCCTACTGCCTCAGCCTCCCGAGTAGCTGGGACTACAGGCATGCACCACCATGCCTGGCTAACCTTTTGTATATATATTTTTAGTTGGTCAATTAATATATTTCTATTTTTTAGTAGAGACGGGGTCTCGCTCAGGCTGGTTTGGAACTCCTGACCTTGAGCAATCCGCCCGCCTCGGCCTCCCAGAGTGCTAGGATGACAAGCGTGAGCCACCGCGCCCGGCTTCCTACCTTCATTCTTATAATGACCACTGAGGTAGCTGTGAACTCTTTATAGATACGAATATGAACTTGGATCTTCATCTTCTCACTGAGAGCACAACAGAGGCAAAATGGGAACGCAGGGCCTGTGCACGTTCCGCTGTGTCACCGGGCTTTGGGGCAGGTTTTCCAGCTTAGGTCCCACCTTTCCCCTGTGCGTGGCTTCCAGGTTCCCCAGTGTAGCACAGTGGTTAAACACGGACTCTGGAGCCAGACTGACTGCATTCAAATCTCTATTCCACCATGCCCTAGTTGGCCTCTGTTTCTCCGTCTGTAAAATGGCAAGAACAGTAGTTGCTATGAGAATTAGAACACCTAGGAAACACCATATAAATGTTCGCTAAATAAATAGGTAAATTTTATTGGACTTCTAAAAAGTCCTGCCATGCTCAGTGCCTAAAGGAAAGCAGATATGATCTTCGGGCCTTGCCAAAGGGACCATGTGGATTAAAGTGGAGCTTTGTGAAACAGAGATGTGTATAGAGATGAGAGTTTCCCTTCTTATATGAAGGTTTTTGGGCCAGGTAGGTGATACACTTTAACTAAAATGTCACTTGTCAGTGTCAACCTTCAGATGGGTGTTCCTAAGCAGAATCCAAGTGCTTATAAGACACCCAGAGGGGGCAGGCATGGTGGTTCTTGCCTGTAATCCTAGCACTCTGGGAGGCCAAGGTGGGAGGATTGCTTGAGGCCAGGAGTTTGAGACCAGCCTGAGCAAGATCGAAACCCTGTCTCTACTAAAAATAGAAAAAATTAGCCAGGCGTGGTGGCATGCTCCCAGCACTCCAGTATGAGCAATGGAGCGAGACTCTGTCTCAAGAAAAAAAAAAAAAAAGACTTACACCCAGATATCCTTGATTAGCTACACAGAGCTTTAGTAAGGGTGAAAAATTCCAAGGGTTGGATTTGGAATAATCAGATGAGGAATGGTAAAATAATCTAATTATTTTGTCTTGATTTTGTAAAGTGAGGGGGCTGAGCTGGATGACTGCAAATGCACATGATTTTTATAATCATTAAACGTATTGGTTAGTCAGCTTACTCAGACCGGAAATGCAGATGCTAATGTGCCTAGATTAAAAATGAAATGATGTAACTGATGAAAATCCTCCGGTGTCGTTTGCCTGATTAAAATTCCAAAGGCTGCACATCTGACTCACACAAGCAACCACGGGATTGCAGAGACCTTTGGTTACAGCTCGTGTCCTTTTGTCCACTGGTCATTGTAACCTCTTATCCCCATGTTGAATAAGTGAACAACAGTTGGTGCCATACTGCATGGTGGAGGTTACTTTTTAAGTGGGAGAATTAAAAGCTGGGTACGGTGGAGCACACCCGCAGTCCCAGGTACTCAGGAGGCTGAGGTGGGAGGATCGCTTGAGCCTAGGAGTTCAAGTCCAGCCTGGGCAACATAGAGGAGACCCTGTCTGTAAAAAAAAAAAAAAAAAAAAAAAAAAATTAGATCAATGCAGGAATGAAGACAAGTAATATTATCACTTATGGGCAGAAGACCTGGCCCAGAATGTTGTCCTCAGTCAACACAGGCTAAGGCACAGCATGCCCGTTGCAGAAAACCACCAAGTTCTACCTGATTTGGGGAACTGAATGGTTTTGGGAAGTAAAGGTTGACCTTTGCTTGTGTCATAAAGTAGAGGAGCTAGAAGTCATAGTCTGGGGGTAAACAGACTGAAGAGGATGGGGGTTCAGCTTTACATCGATCTGAGAAAGGTATCTGGAGTAATTTAATCACACATCCCCCGCACCGTGGGCTGACGCTGGACTCCTGACGGCCCGCCCGCGTGACGGATGGGCAGAGCCACCGAGTGCAGAATCAGTGGCTTCTGAAGAGGCAGCTGTTGAAGGTCCCCTTGCCAGGCGATCATTTGGTAATTGTTTTGATGAATGAGATCATGCAGTAGAAAAGCTAATGAAGCTGAGGCAATTAAGCTGACCTTTTTTCCCAGAGGTCCCTCTTATTGAAGAGCAGGTGCCATGGGGGAGTGAGGAACACTGGGGTGCCCAGCAGACCTTTGTTAACAGCTGGTCAGTTGCCAGTTTTGGGGAGTGTTGGATTAATATTTGGGTCATTGTGGTCAGGAATTTCTTCATTTGCCTTTTCCCTCTACTAGGAAGACACTGTTGAAGTGATAGCTCTGTATTTAGTATTTCAAGTATACAGTTAGTATGCAGTTGAAATTCTTAACAACCCAACAGAATGCCGTTGCTGCTAATAGTTGTTGATTTAGTACCTATTGCGTGAAGAAAGAGCAGTTTGAGAGCCAATATTATGCATTGGTTAGGAGCTGGGCTCTGGAATCAAACTCCTAGGATGGACGGATTCTGTGCTGTCCAATCTACAAGCTTGCTGATTTTGAGTAAGTCACTTAACCTCTCTCTGGACCTCAGTTTTCTCATCTATAAAATGGGGGTGGTAAGTGCTCCATTCATGTTGGCTGCTGTTGTTGACACTTGTGGATTTCATTAGCCGGCCAATGGCTGTGGGAAGAGAGCAAGGTTTATTGCGCCCACACATTGGCCACTTTTGGGGTCTCTCTCACATCAAGTATAATGAGTGAACCAAATATCTCAGTGGCATGAGACATCTGTCATCTGTAACTTCTGGTGACTTCGGTTCATTCTTTCTCATACATATTTTTTTCTGGGTCACTACCCGTGGAATAAAGGTTGTCCAGCTTAACCTTATGAATAGATCAACCTTTGTGGATTGTTTTCCATTAACCACGGGCTGTTAGCTAAGAGATCAGATCTGTCACAAATGGAAGAACTTGCCCCTAACATTCTTTTTTTTTTTTTTTTAAGCCAGCCAAATTTAACAGTGGGACATGCACAACATTCTCGAAATCTGCCTGACCAAAAGCAATGTTTAGCCTTCATTAAGACAGTGCTTCAGAGGAGCAGAGAGTCTCGGAGTTATGCCAGTGGGTTGAGGAGAAAAAGATAAGAGAGAAAAAAGCCCGGGATGGGAAAATTTGCAGAGCAGCTCAACTGGCTGAAAGTTGGCTTTGTTCGGTGCCCAACTTCTCAGAAGATTTTCCTCGCCTGAGTGGGCTTGGTGGAGCACTGGGGTGAGAGTGTTGCTTAGCAACAAGATTTTGTGGCACCCGATCCTCAAATAGTCAAGCCACCCATCAATTCCCTGCTTCCTCCTCGCCAACCCTCAGCTACCCTCCAGAGAGCCTCCCATAGGACAACCCCGAGTGGAGCGGAGGGAGGGAACAGCGAGAGGGCGTGAGGTTTAATCATTGAACCAGGCAGGCTGGGAGTATTTAGTGGGAACACCTAGCTCCCCGGGAGGCCTCCCAGCCCCAGCTGGAAGTGTGCAGCGCTCTGCAGGCGTGGGAGTAAACACTGCACGGAAATCTCTGCCCAGCTCAGGAGGAAGCAAACTTCGGGAAAATGTTTGCGGTGCACTTGATGGCCTTTTACTTCACCAAGCTGAAGGAGGACCAGATCAAGAAGGTAAGGACTCAGGTCGCTGAGAGATGCCTCGGTGGTCATTCCACCTGGGCAGAGGTGACTGATTGCCTGCCTCCCTCAGAAAGGATCGAAGAGGGCTTGTTAGAAAAGATGCCAGGAGCACATGGCCAGGAGAAAACTCACGGAGCGGGAAGAGGAAGGAACTCCCCCCGCCCCGTCCCGGGCATTGCACTCCTGTCCTGAACCTTAAATTTCACGCATCTCCTCGGGGCAGGTATCTGGGGAGAAAACAGGTGAGGAGAGTCGTTAGAAAGCTTAAAGAGGGTTGTGTTGATGGAAGGGTTGTGTTTGCTGGGAAAGGCCACAAAGGAGAGGAGAGCGATTTTTGAAGAAGTTTTAAGAACTTGTGAGCAGATCTGATTATTCCTGTGTTTGAAAGCCTATGAATAGGGGCACCAGGAGGGGTACGAGTTGTCAGGTACAATAACTGGAGTATTCATTACTGGCACCTGCTGTTTGCCAACGGTATGCTATTAATGGCGTGCGTTGTTTTGTCACTTTGCTCAAGGAACTTGTCTGTGAAATATATTCTAAGGTGGGCTGGCTAACGGTTACCAAGGGTCAACTGAGGGTCATCAGGTTCTCTCCAAGCAGCTCCTCTGGCCACTGGCCGTCAGGGCCCTGGGCAAGTAGCATCTCTCAGTTTAGATAACAGAGGTCCTCCTAGCAGGCCGACTTAGCCAAAGTCACCAGGTATTTAAGGTGGAATGAGAGTTAAACCCAAGCCGGCTGACCCCACCTGATGCCTTCGTGCTTTTCAAAATGAGGAAGTACGGCCCCTACAGCCTTCGTGTGCCTGGTGGCATAAACTCCAGCTAAATTCTATTCATTAGTGGGTTGGGGTAGAAGTTACAGCAAATTTTAAAATATTATAAATCAATCAGATTTAAGCTGGCTTAATTTTTACTTGTTAATTCGATTAACAAGTAGTCAGATACAGAGACCTCTACTGGCTACTTAAGAAGGTGAAATACTCCTATATAGTACTGCTTTAAGAATCCACTTTCTTAGAACTTGGCATCCAATGGAAAAAAAAAGAAAGATAAAAAATTAAAATTTTTAAATTATAAAATAAAAAATTAAAAAATGTAAAAAAGCATCCACTTTCTGTTATTAACTGCTCAGTAGAGATGCAATCTGCACCCCCAAGGGGGGGGTCTTTGGAACCCTCAACCTTTAGTCTTGCAAATCCACTTCATCTCCTTGGGCCCCTTTGCCACATTTACCCTTTTGTTGGACTGTGGCAGCAGGCAGGACATGTTTGTCCACCAGCCCAGGTATAGGCTCAGGAGGTCCTTTTGACTGGAAATACAGCCTCCATTGATGTGTTCCAGGTCTTTCTGGAAGGAGAGTCAGCTTTTGTCAATGCCTGGAGTTGACTTCCCTCTCCCCCACTGCGGGGGTGGGGGGCCAAGAAAGCTGGGAGCACTTTGTAGCTACCTTAAGCAAGTACCTCAGCAGGTCTGGGGGGTGTGGGAGGGTGGTTTATGGTTGCTGGGCTGAGTCATGATTCTGAGAACACCCCTCCATGTGGTGGAAACTGTCCTGGTCAAAAGGCACAGCTCACACTGCCTCTGTGGTCAGGTGGTCAGTCGCCTTCATCATCCTTTCCTGCCTCAAGGGTTGTCCAGACCCAGGGCCATGCTTGCCTACCAGGGCTACTGTTCAGAACCAGGAACAATTTTTTTTTTTTAAATCTCCCCATACCAACATTAAAACAAAAATAAAAAGAAAGAAAGAAAATAGAAACCACTCTGACAGCTTCTTTTCCAATTCAATATATTGACATTATTGACCTATTGCTAACACGAGGCTGGCCTGGTCACTGACCTTCAGATTGTTCATCCACACGAGAAGAACTGGTTAGGTTTTCAATGTGTATTTTTTACAGTTTAGTAAGTCAACATTACGAAAAAGTGGAAATGTTACCTTTAATCCCAAGCTTAATTTTTTTTCTTTTTCCGACACAGAGTCTCACTCTGTCACCCCAGCTAGAGTGCAGTGGGGTCAGCCTAGCTCACAGCAACCTCCAACTCCTGGGCTCAAGCAATCCTTCTGCCTCAGCCTCCCAAGTAGCTGGGACTACAGGCACATGCCGCCACGATCAACTAATTTTTCTATTTTTAGTACAGATGGAGTCTTGCTGTTGCTTAGGCTGGTCTTGAACTCCTGACCTCAAGTGATCCTCCTTGGCCTCCCAGAGGCTAGGATTACAGGCGTGAGCCACCACGCCCACATACAGTTATATTTATAATATACTTACAGTTCTGAATCTTGCTTCCTTCACTTATTGTTATATTGTAACCACTTATGTACATTTCTCCTTTATCTGCATAATTATCATTTTAATGTCTTCCTAATATTCAATCAAGTGGATATGCCATAATTTATTTAACCTTTTCCCCCTTGCTAGACATTTGAATACTTTCAAAAACATTTTAAAATTCATATTGTATGATAAACACTGGAATATATGTATTGTTCTGTGTATTTAGAATTATTTCCTTAGAATAGATTCCCAGAAGTGAAATCACTGGGTCAAAGAGTAGAAACTTTTTATGACTCAATTCATAATATGAGACCTTTGGACTAAATGATCTCTAAGGCACCTACCGGCTCCCACATTCTGTAATTCAATGGCTCTGAGTTTCAATGTTTTATTTGCTCTTTCTAAATTAAATACCCTACTCGTAGGCTTTCTTGTTTAGAAGATATCCACTATTGTGGGTTGCGACTCTCTCCAAAAGTGGGCTTGGTTTTCTGCAACTCAATTACCCTCCGTTAGTGCCTGGGGCTGTGTGTCCCTGGTTACACATGCCCCAAATCCCTTGCTTGGATTTAAGATGTAGCTTTCTTTTATGCCAGCATATGTTTCACTCTTCTGGTCCAGCCTCTGTGCCAGGTGCTGTGGAAGATACAAATAATAAGGAAGACATTGTTGCAGAGTTGACGTTCTTTCTGTCATAACTGTAACTTATCGAAAGAGCAGTAGCTGCCCAAAGCGCCAAAGGACACAGTTAAACTTTTAGCAGCTCACAAATGACCCCTTCAGGGCCTCGAAACCATTACTTACGTAGAAGGGAAAAGCATGACTTACCATCCGCACGATGTGGATGCCGGCAGGAGTGCTCCACACTCTCAGGCTGCACAAAAGCGATCGGTAGGTTTAGGGGCACTGCTTGAGGGGCTTCGGGGTGGGAAAGGATGAAGTCCAGTTCCCACGTAGGGCATCCCACCCTTCCCCAACTCCAATTACTTGGGTCATGTCCCTGCTGTCCAATTTTCTCCATCTGTGTGTGGCTGTGCCAACCAATTAGTCATCAACAGACTCCGGGTGCGCAGGAAGCCCTTAATGAAGCGTGACCTGGTTATACCCTGTCTTCTCAAACATGCTGAAAGCTCAACTGTCCTTTTCTTGATAATGGCTCTCTGATGGTTTTCTGGCATTCCTCTCGCCCTCGCCAAGTCCCCAGAGCCATGGGGCCACTTTACTGTCTTCAATCTTTGTACTGGCGCCGACTGGGCTGGGTCATTCCATCCTCTGAGGCCTGGCTGGTGGCTGTCCTGGGACGAAAGTGACACGAGCCCTGTGCTTTTGGTCTAATTTGGCTGTTGAGTTTGTGGATCCCCCAAGGAGCTGTGAGCCAAAACCGGGCTGTGGGCACCAAGAGTGTGGAGACTGCGTCCAGAGCTCTATTAATGGGCACCGAATGGCTCTGAGGCTCGTGTTAATTGGAGACCAGAACTTTGGCCTTACCTGGTGGCCTCAAAGGAACGTCGTGGAGATTGAAGACGTGACATAATACATGAAAGCACTTTGTATACTGTAGCACACGTTCTTAGCTGTAGATGAAAGTGTGCTCCCCATGGGAATGTGCTTGGGATCAAGTCTCCCTGCAGCCTGGATGGGTGGGGAGGGAGCTCAGTATATAAATATGGGTGCATATGCCGCTGTCTCTCCTCCTGGCCTCATCCATAACCCATCCCAGCGAGCCCTGGGAATCCAGACTGCCACCACCAACTGATCATATGGGGGAGGAAGCTTTTTGGCCGCTCCTGATGTGACACGTTACCTTCACATGGACCAAGCACAGCCATAGTGATTTTTACAACTTCCATCCATTGGGGCAGTGGTCCTCTGCCCCAATTTCCTGGTTACTTGAAAGACATCCAGTCATTTTCAATAGCAATTTGAGCTGACTTTAAAAATTAAACTTGGTCTTAATCAGAGCCACCTCAGCTAAACCAAAATGCAATTTTAAAGGACTAGATTTTAGAGCTTGCTGCTGGAAACTGAGCTTCCTAGCAGCCAGTAAACAAAGGGCAACATGTTTGTATGTATCTGTTGTCATCATTGGACAAAAGAGAGTCCCCGTGTTTAGGAAGCGAAGGTTTAAGCGGCAGCTAGTCTTCTCCAGTGGAGAGGCGATGAGGCGATGGTGAGGGCCCTGCCTCAGGAGTTAGATCCTGAATCCTTAGTTTCTGTCCCTCCATTATCTCATCAGAATAATGGGGGAGGCACTTCCTCTGCAGAGCTTGCCCTGCAGAGGAATAACCCACACCTTCTCAGTCTTCCGTGCCATGCGGCTCTCCCAGTGCCCTGCCTGTCCTCAGCCTTGGGAAGGGGTCAGGGAAGGAGCCCTTGGGAGTCCCCATCAGGAAACTGTCCCCAGAGCAGGGAGTGAGCTTCGAGAGGGGAGTGGGAGTTTGCAGCCTGGATGGAGGGTGGGCAGCCCGCAGCCAGCCCGGGTCGCCGGCGTCTGTTCCAGGTGGACAGGTTCCTGTATCACATGCGGCTCTCAGATGAGACACTTTTGGACATCATGGCGCGCTTCCAGGGCGAGATGGAGAGGGGCCTGGCCAAGGACACCAACCCCACGGCCTCAGTGAAGATGCTGCCCACCTTTGTCAGGGCCATCCCTGACGGCTCAGGTGAGTGGGGCTGGGCTGCCAGGACCCAAACCCCGGGTTCCTCCCTGCTGATGGACCCCTAAAGTGCCTCAGTTCGCTCCTGCCCTTGGCTCATCTCGCAAGCCCTCGCCCCCCTCTCACACTCCAGTCCACTGAACGCCACCAGCTCCGAGGCCCAAGACACCTTGTCCTCCCCCTGCCCATCTTGCCTGGCACGTTCTGCCCCCTCTGCGGCTGGAGCGTCCCGACACTCGTCCCCTCGGGAGCCCGGGTGGCTCTTCCCTCTCTGCGTCGTCACAAGTGCTGCCTCACCTGGGAAGCATCGCACACTGGGCTAGGTGCTTGTCAGGGCACTTGTCACCCTGCTGTGTGCGAGTCCCCACCGCACCAACAGCTCCACGAGGCCGGGTCCTACTCACCTGTGTTCCGAGCACCCAGCACAGTGCCGGCTGCGTACGAGGCAATGGGTCTCACTGGGCTAAAAGCAAGGCGTGGCAGGGCTGCGGGGAGAACGTTGCCTTGACTTCCCCAGCTTCTAGAGGCCTCCTGCTTTCCTTGGCTTGTGGCTCTTTCTGTCTTCGGCGCCAGCAGTGTAGCATCCTCAGGTCTCTCTGACCGACCCTCGGCCTCCCTCTTCCACGTGGGAAGGCCCTGTGACCACATTAGGCACCTCCGCTAGCCCAGCATAATCTCCCAACCGCAAGGGCAGCTGGCGGGCAATTGTGAGTCCCTCTGCAACCTTAATTCCCTTTTGCCGTGCACCCTAACATATTCACAGGATCTGGGGATTAGGACATGGACATCTTTGTGGGTGGGTAGGGGGACATTATTTTGCCCACCATAGCCCAGAGCTCTCTAGAGGGCATCTATGAGGTCCCAGCCAACTATTCCATTCTTAGCCCCTGGGCAAAGCCATAACAGGGAAAGGAACTGATACTTACTGAGCACCTCCTGTAATCATGGGGTGCAAGGGACTCACTGCGTCATTGACTCCCGTAAGAACTCTGGGGTGCAGCTGTTATCCCCAGGTCAGAGGAGAGCCCCAAGGGGCTTCCCAATGTCAGGGTCCCAGTGCCCGAACCAAGCGCCTGCAAGAGGCTTTGGGGCCCTTGAAGGAACAGGGACTGGAGTTTGGGGAGCTCTCTGGGGAGGGGGCTTTGATTGGATTACCTGGGTTCTGGACCCCTCTTGGAGCAATGCCCGGGTCAAAGTGGCTTGGCTGTGCTGGCCGAGAGGCCCGTGGTGAGGGACACCGTGGTGGGAACAGCCTGTTCCCTCGCCGGTGGGTGGGTGCTTGGGGCGGCCAGTGTACTGCCCGGGGGGAGCGTAGCTTTGGAGAGAGACAGCCCTACTTTGAAATCGTGGCCCTGTCCTTGACACAGAGGGATGAGAGTGCTGAGGGGACTGCAGTCCTCCATGGGTCATCCGGGGCCATTCGCAAGAAGCACCTGAGTCATGGCGGGTGAGGAGGCTGGGACACCCGGGGCTAAGTCCTCCCAGCTTCCTGTGCCGCCGCCGCCCCTCCAGATAGGGACGAGGAGTGTCCCTAGAAGCAAGCAACGGTGGCCTTGGATGGGGCCTGTGGGACAGGAGGTGTCTTCCTGGCCCTGGCGGCTTCAGGAAGTTTCGATATGAAACCAAGTTTTAGAAACTTCCCCCTCCTCAGGCTGGGGGACCCCCATCTCCTTTCTTCACTGCCTCCTCGGAACCCCCCACCAGGCAATAAGTCTCCCCATGACTCTGCTGTGGAGATGTCCCTGGGCCCGGCGTCCCCACCGAGCCAGGTGCCCCTGGTAAATGCCAGAGCCACAGCACGGTCATTAGGACCCAATGAGGCCATGTGGAGGGAGTGCCGTAAAATCTGTAAAATGTCCAAAGTCCTCCATGGCGCTTGTGAGCTGGCGCTACGATTTCACGATTCCTAACAAGACCAAACAAATAAATCTCTCCCGATCCCTTGTCACTGCCACTTCAGAAATGTATGCGGTTTCCAGAGAAATCTGAGTTTGCCTCCTCTCTGCAGTTTCTCTTCCCTTTACCTGCACCTCCCTGGCAGGGAGTCACCTGTCAGAGCCGTGGTTACTTCCCAGGCTTTTAGTAGGGGCTGGGGTTGACAGTGCTCGCTTAGGATCCAGGTCCTTAAAAGTGGTGTGTTAACATTAGAGCCTCTACCGGCCATGGAGGGAAGCCGGGAGGTGACCCGGATTCTTTGGCTGGACTCCAGCTGGTTGTCTTCTCGGCCTCTGCCTCCAGGCAGCCTCCCAGGTCCCCAAGGAGGCCCTGGGGGCGAGCCCAGGAGCCCTGAGGTAGTCAGCCCAGGGCCGGGGTCTTGCACTAGGACAGGATCCTCCCATTCTTGCCCGAGCATACAGTTCACCTGGAGCGTGTCCTAAACACGTGGTTTCCCAGCCTCTGCCCCTAGGGGCTGAACGTCCAGGAACCCACCTACTCAGCCACTGTGCGCCTTTGGGAGACACTGCACTGGGGATGGGGGGGGAGACGGGGAGGCACATGCCCTGGCAGTGGGTTAAGAGAAGGAAACCCTGGGCGTCCAGGGCAGGTCATGGAGGACCCGTCCAGCAAGCAGATTGTCAAAGGAATCTCCTCTCCTTTGACTGACTTCTGACTAACTGCTGTTAAGACCCTCAAGGCCTCACTGCCGCTGTGGCCTGGGAGGTCCTCCCTCCCCCGGGGTCCACTGGATCCTTTCTCTGGGGTCAGAGTCATGGAAGGGTTCACGCCACACAGTTTCCTTGAAATGGCATCTTGAGTCACCAGTGGAGCGAGGAGTCTGCACGGTGATAGCGGGCGGCGGAGGGAGGGGTGTCCCGAGCAGACGCGGAGGGTCTCAGCACAGCGGCCTCCTCTTTTGTCAAACCCGCAGTCTGTCCTGGGTGGTGCCAGAGGCTTTTTTTGCTAAAGTCTCAATCAGGTCTTGGCGCTCCCTTGCTTAAAGTCTGTCTGCGGCTCACTCCCACGTCTCACCCGAGCACATTGGGGTGGGGTGGCTTTTCCCGTCCTTCCTAATTTTACTCCACACTGTCTTCCAGCTGCATTTCCACCCCAGCAAAATCCTCACCATCCTGCTCTCTCATTCCTTCACTCATGGTTTCCTCTCCCACTGACCCCTGCTCACCCCAGTCTGGCGGCCTGAGTCCCTCTCATCCTCATTGCTCAGCCCTGTGTCACCGCTGGGGGTCAGCCGCCTTTGACTCCTGTCTCTGATTGGGATGGCTCTCCCCGAGCTTCTGCCATCTGAGCCCGGGGGAAATGGCTGGTTTGGGCACCTGTAGTGCTGGCAGACTCCCAGGGAGCACACACTCTTTCGCCTTTGCGTCCCTAGCACCTGGCGTGTTACTTGGCACTGAGTAGGTGCTCAGCAAACGTCTCTCCGTCCGTGGGCTGTGGGATCTACCCTGCTTCCTGCACAAGATAACATTCGTGAAAGCTCCTCTGGCTTGGTACATAATAGGCGCTAGTAAGACTTGCATAGGATTAGCTCCCTGATGTCCCTAACAAATAATAAATGGCTCCTTCAGGCTCCTTTGGGAGCTGATCTGGGGAGGTGAGAATCTCCAGATGTGTCCACGATTTCCAGGTGGCTCCACAAAAACAAAAGACAGAGCCGGCTGGGTCTGTAGATGAGGACTCTGCACCTCTGTCCCCTAACTGTGGTCCGCAGAGCAGTAGCAGCAGTAGCACCCAGGAGCTTGTTTGGAATTGCAGAGTCCTGGCTGCGAATCGCCGTCTGCATGTTCACAGATTCCCGGGAGAGTCACATGCACACATTAAAGTGTGGACAGACTGCTCTGGGCCATGGGAGCGTAGGGGCTTGCCTCCACCCCTTTCATTGCTGGGACCAAGGGACCCACTGGAGGCTGGTCAAGGGAAGGTTTGTGGTGCGAGGGCAGGTGGACCAAGAAGGGAGGCACAAGGTTCTCGAGGGAAACTGAGGGCAGGGGCTGTGCTGCATTTGGGTCTTTTTGTTTTTTTGAGACAGAGTCTCACTTTGTTGCCCAGGCTAGAGTGAGTGCCGTGGCATCAGCCTAGCTCACAGCAACCTCAAACTCCTGGGCTCAAGCAATCCTCCTGCCTCAGCCTCCCTAGTAGCTGGGACTACAGGCATGCGCCACCACGCCTGGCTAATTTTTTCTATATATATTAGTTAGCCAATTAATTTCTTTCTATTTATAGTAGAGATGGAGTCTCGCTCTTGCTCAGGCTGGTTTCAAACTCCTGACTTCGAGCAATCCGCCCCCCTCGGCCTCCCAGAGTGCTAGGATTACAGGCCTGAGCCACCGCGGCCGACCTACATTTGGGTCTCAAGACAGCTGGACCTCTGGAGTTCTCCCCATGACGTCAGTCTGCGTGCGGCTGCCTCGGCTGCCCAGCGGACCTCTGGGTTTTTGGATGCTTCCGTTTCGGTTTTTGCCACCTACTGTTGACTTCTGTCTGTGTTTTATTTCACATTTCACAAGAAGTAACCTGGATTGGCCCGCTGGCCCCTTAGGGCCAGGCAGCTGTGGCTGGGGTCACTTGGTATAAAACAAGGCCACTCACGTGCCGGGTTCATGGGTATGGAGTTGCACTTACGCTGCCTTGGGTGTGCATCAGGGAGCAAAACTTGTACCTTGTACCTGCAGGCGCTTCTCAGCACAGGTAATTCTATACAAAGGCTTGTCGGTTCACCCTGAGCTCCCATCCCACATCTGCGGCTGTCACTGGAGGCACTGGCAGGGTCTTGAGCAGAAGTCCTCAGGGTGGGCTGCCTCCCCCCAGCGCATGATCTCTTCCCCCTTTTTATTTAATTAATTAATTAATATTGAGATAGAGTCTCACTAGAGTGCAGTAGCATCATCATAGCTCACAGCAAGCTCAAAGTCCTGGGCTCTAGTGATCCTCCTGCCTCAGCCTCCTGACTAGCTGGGACTAGAAGTGCATGCCACCACGCTCAGCTAATTTTTCTTTGTTGTAGAGACGGGTCTTTCTTTTGCTCGGGGTGGTCTCAAACTCCTGACCTCAAGCAATCCTCCTGCCTCTGTCTCCCAGAGTGCTAGGATTACAGGCCTGAGCCACTGTGCCCAGCCCCTACCTTTTTATTAATAGCATCTGTCTTAGGCTGGGCTGTGTTCCAATTTCTCCTTTTGGAGTGGCTCTGGCCTAAAAAGCTGGGCATCCTTGGCACTTCGAGGGCCATCATTTGGCCCCTGCTTCCCTTCCCCTCCTGGAATGTTTCCCCCCTGCCCGTCAGATTGAGGATGTGTGAGGCTGGTTTCTTGTCTCCCTCTTTATCTGAGTTTCCCACAGGCTTGCAGAACCGGCTTTCTCCTCCTGGTCGTGGTGTCCTAGGGCAGGATCCACCCTCCTGGCCATTTCTCATGACACCTACATGAAGTGTGTTCACATTGGCCTCCTCCAAATGAACGTCCTAAAGCGTGACCCAGTGGGACAGGCTTAGGCTGCAGGCTCAGGCAGATGTGGGCTCACACCCCAGCTCTGCCCCTTACCTCGGGGGCTCTGATAAATGGCTGCACCCCTTGGCCTCAGCGAGTGGGCACAGTGATACCCAGCTCATGGGTGGCTGCAAGATTTAATGACATTTCTCACATGTCCAACTTCTAACACAGAGCTTGCCACAGAGTAGCAGACCCTCAATAAATGGTCACTGATTTTGTTTTTCAATAGAGAATGGGGAGTTCCTTTCCCTGGATCTTGGAGGATCCAAGTTTCGAGTCTTGAAGGTGCAAGTCTCGGAAGAGGGGAAGCAACAGGTCCAGATGGAGAGTCAGTTCTACCCAACACCCAATGAAATCATCCGAGGGAACGGCTCGGAGGTACCAGGCAGGCGGGGAAGGCCTTGGCATCGTCCTGTAAGCAACCGTCCCTGAGCCCGTGCCCTTCGCTTTTCCTCTCTGCAGCTGTTTGAATACGTAGCTGACTGTCTGGCTGACTTCATGCAGACCAAAGATTTGAAGAATAAGAAGTTTCCCCTTGGCCTGACCTTTTCTTTCCCCTGCAGACAAACTAAACTGGAAGAGGTAAGGCCGGCGCCAGGGGAGGGAAGAAGCCGTGCAGGCTTTGGGGTCTGGGGGACGTGGGCAGGTGCAGGAGTCAGGCTGGGCTTCTTTTGCCCCTCGGTAACGATGAGGTGGCAGTGTGCTGCAGATGCCTTGGAACACGGCGGCCCTGACTTTACAGGTAACGTGGGCACAGCGAGAGGGAGCGAGATGGCTTTCACCGGCTCTCAGACCTTGTGCATCAGATTCCCCAGAGGGCTTGCTCAACACACTGCTGGGCTCCCCCGGCATCCCTGGTTCTGCCCCACATTTGCTTTTCTAACAGCTTTCTGAGAATGCGCCATGCTGCCTGTCCGAGGACTGCACTGAGAACCACTGGCATAGCCGACTAGAGTGAGAGCAGGGAGGCTTGGGAACATCCTTGTAGGAGGAGGACTGTGGTGGGGCCGTTGGAGTGACATGTTCTTGAGCAGACACAGAGCCTAGCATCTCTGGTCTCAGTTGTGTCACCCAGGCTGGAGTTCCTGGTAGCCCATCTTGGCGTGTCTCAGAGTTTCTATTTGTTTTGTTTGTTCTTTTTTTTTGGAGACAGAGTCTTACTCTGTTGCCTGGACTAAAACGCCGTGGCGTCAGCCTAGCTCACAGCAACCTCAAAGTCCTGGGCTCAAGCAATCCTCCTGCCTCAGCCTCCTGAGTAGCTGGGACTACAGGCATGCGCCACCATGCCTGGCTGATTTTTTTTTTTTTTTTTTTTTTTTTTTTTTTTAAGACAGAGTCTCGCTTTGTTGTCCAGGCTAGAGTGAGTGCCGTGGCGTCAGCCTAGCTCACAGCAACCTCAAACTCCTGGGCTCGAGCGATCCTTCTGCCTCAGCCTCCCGAGTAGCTGGGACTACAGGCATGCGCCACCATGCCCGGCTAATTTTTATATATATATATATCAGTTGGCCAATTAATTTCTTTCTATTTATAGTAGCTCAGGCTGGTTTCGAACTCCTGACCTTGAGCAATCCGCCCGCCTCGGCCTCCCAGAGAGCTAGGATTACAGGCGTGAGCCACCGCGCCCGGCCTGGCTGATTTTTTCTATATATATTTTTAGTTGTCCAGCTAATTTGTTTCTATTATTAGTAGAGACGGGGTCTCGCTGTTGCTCAGGCTGGTCTTGAACTCCTGACCTTGAGCGATCCGCCTGCCTCGGCCTCACAGAGTGCTAGGATTACAGGCCTGAGCCACCACGTGCTGCTCAAACTGCCTTTCAAGAAAGCTAAAGTTAGGCCCGGCGTGGTGGCTCACACCTGTAATCCTAGCTCTCTTTGAGGCCGAGGCAGGAGGAGTGCTCAAGGTCAGGAGTTCAAAACCAGCCTGAGCAAAAGGGAGATCATCTCTACCAAAAATAGAAAGAAATTAATTGGCCAACTAAAAATAATTAACCGGGCATGGTGGCACATGCCTGTAGTCCCAGCTACTCGGGAGGCCGAGGCAGGAGGATTGTTTGAGCCCAGGAGTTTGAGGTTGCTGTGAGCTAGGCTGACCCCACAGCACTCTAGCCAGGGTGGCAACAGAGTGAGACTCTGTCTCAAAAAAAGAAATAAAAGAAAGGAAAGCTAAAGTTAAGCAGAAAATCTTCAACCACAAGCAAACTCACTACTAACAATATCGCAGTGTGGGCCTGTTCTGCGGCCATCTGACCAAGGCGCTGCTGCAGACGTACATCCGGGACACGGAAGCAAGGGCTCCTGGGGAAGGTGGGCGGGAAGGTGGGCTCCGCTGCACTGCGCAAGTGCAGAAGGCGGTGGGAAGGGGAGGCCTTCACCAGGAGGTGTGATTAGGGAGTTTCTTTGAGAAACTAAAAATGATTAAAGAAGGGAAAGGCATGCGAATTTTTTTTTTATTTCCAAATATTAAGGGGGTACAAATGTTTTTGTTACACAGATACCTTTTCTAATGCTTCGGTCAGGGTTTTTAGTGTGCCCATCCCCCCAAAGGTGTTCGCTGTACCCGATAGGTAGGTTTCTATCCCTCCCCTCGTCGCCCTCTTCTTGATTTCCTATGACCTTGACGTCTCTTTGTGCCTGTGTGTGCCCATCGATTAGCTCTCAATTATTAGAGAGGACATGTGATGTTTGTTTTTCCATTCCTGAGATACTTCACTTAGGATAATGGTCTCCAGTTCCATCCAGATTGCTGCAAAAGATATTATTTCAGAGCATGAGAATTAAAAGGAAGAAGTTTCTTGTTTGTTTAAATAAGGGAACACAAAAGACAAGAAATTTCTTTGTGTGTGTATGCATTTTCTGATGATGAAATTGCAATAGTTTTTCAAGCTTAAAAACAAATAGGATAGGAATTGGAAAGTTTAAATAAGAAAACTGGAATCTCTCTTTTTTTTTCTCTTTTTGACAGTTTCACTTTGTTGCCCAGGCTAGAGTGAGTGCCGTGGCGTCAGCCTAGCTCACAGCAACCTCAAACTCCTGGGCTCAAGCCATGCTGCTGCCTCAGCCTCCCGAGTAGCTGGGACTACAGGGATGCGCCACCGCACCTGGCTAATTTTTTCTATATATATATATTAGTTGGCCAATTAATTTCTTTCTCTTTATAGTAGAGACAGTGTCTCGCTCTTGCTCAGGCTGGTTTCAAACTCCTGACCTTGAGCAATTTGCCCGCCTCGGCCTCCCAGAGTGCCACCGCGCCTGACCAGGAATCTCCTTTAATCTCAACATTTGGAAATACTCACCACTAGAATTGTGAAGTCTCCTTCCAGACATGTCTGTATTAAATGCTGATGTTACGCCATATCCATGGTTAAAAAATATATAGCAGTGTGTAATTGCTTTTTTAAAAATTTATCATTATATCATAAGCACTTATCCCTCACTTCCCCGTACATCTTCCCCCTAGAAGGTCTCACATGGTCTCTGGCACCTTTGTAGTGGGGAAAGCTGCTGGTGCCTCTCTGCTGCCCCTATTGGGTGAAGCAGAGACCTTGCTGTAGCCCATGGAACAGAAGTTAGGGAAAGCTGCCACACGGCGGCGCTGTGGTGCAGGGAAAAACCCTGGGGACTAGTTGCTAGTCAGAGACCAGCATCTAATTGGGCCTGGTCCTTCACTCATTTCCTTCCTCTCTAAATCTGTTTCTTCTTTTTTTTTAAAAAAAATTATTATTATTACTTTATTTTTAGAGTCTGGGTCTTGCCCTGTCTCCCAGGCTGGAGTACAGTGGCACCATCAACTCCTGGGCTCAAGTGATTGTCTATCCTCAGCCTCCCAAGTAGCTGGGACTACAGGTGTGCACCACCACACCGGGCTAAATCTCCGTGTCTTTAACCATAAACTGAGGGGATTTGAGGAGGTGCGGTCAGGGAGTTTGTGAGTTTGAGGCCAGCTGCTCTTGTCTGAGCCGACACGGGTGATTCTCTCAACTTCCAAGTTCTCTTCCAGTCTGAAAAATTCTATTATTGTTTGCAATTGTAGTACAAAACTCTTGAGAAACACCACTTGTAAGCAGAGAATTGATCATGCAAATTGAGAACTAACTTTCCCTTCCTTCTTGTTCCCTTCCTTCCTTCCTTCCTTCCTTCTCCTCCTTCCTCCTTCCTTCCTTCCCTCCTTCCCTCTTCCCTCCTTCCCTCTCCCTCCTTCCCTCCTTCCTCCTCTCCTTCCTCCCTTCCTCCTTCCTCCCTTCCTTCTTCTTCCTTCCTCTCTTTATATTTCTGGGGCTGGCCCTGGACTCCTGGGCTTAAGAGATCCTCCCACCCCAGCCTCCTGAGTAGCTGGAGCTACAGGTGCACACACCACCACACCTGGCTGAGAAGCATTTTTCTAAATTGAAATTAAGTTCCTGAGAGAGTCTTTAACCACTTCGGTACGGCGCTCACCAGCCGTGAAACCTTGCCCACAGCCGGCACTCACAGTCCGCACGATAGTTTGTGCTGTGCATTGACGACGAATCCGTTTTGCTCTTGTGTGATGAGGAAAGCTTTAAAGCACTGGAAGTTTGTTTTACTTTACACGCAGCTTTAGGAAAATAACTATAATAACTCCTACTAAGGACTTGTTAAAGGGTCACAGATTCGTAGTAACTTATTAGCTGAACGTACACGCTGCAGCTGCAGAGATAAAAGCAAAAGCTGTTGGCTGTCGGCTAAAGTCGACGCTGGGCTGTGCGCGTTCATCTGTGGCTGTCGGCTATAGTCGACGCCTGTACCGAAGTGGTTAAGGTTACACTGCATTAGTTCTGCTTAGTGGACCTAGCAAACCATACATTCTGCACAAATAATACACCAGGTATTTTCATATATTACCAGGCAAAGAGGCGATATTTTCACTTTATAGATGAGCAAACTGAGGCTCAGACCAGATATATGACTTGTTCAATGTCTCCTGAATCCGAGCGCTCTAACTCTTCAGCAATTGTTCTTTTTGCTACTATACATATTGCTTCAAACTGCTGAGACTAGTTGTTTACATTATTAGGAAAGGCCTCATGAGCAATGTTAAAAGAACTGGGTGACTCAGCTCAGACGAGAGAGGGCCATGGAGGATGCGCTGTAGGTATGAAATGTCCGCAGCTCACTTCCTCCTCTGAGCGCCTCCTGCACTGGGACTGGATCTGAAATCTTCCCACAGGGTGTCCTGATTTCGTGGACGAAGAAGTTTAAGGCCCGAGGAGTTCAAGGCACAGACGTAGTGAGCCGCCTGACCAACGCCATGAAAAAACACGAGGTGAGGCATTGGCCCCAGTGTGGGACGCTCTTCCAGGCCTAGCCCCTTTCTCTTGGGGAGGTTCCATACTGGGCCTGTCTGGAAGGAGACCCGGAGAAGGCGCAGTTCTTAGGGCAGGTCACATCATAGCACAGATGTGGCTATTTCAGATAAACCCACCAGTAGTAGCCTTGCTACGTGGGGCTTGAACCAGTCACTGTTGAAAGGTGGCCTGGCACTTCCCTGAGCCTCCTTTTGCCATGGATAAGCCCCCACCCTCCTCTCTGAGGCTGCAAAGATCACTTTCCTTCCAGTCTGTTCTCTATTCATTGAATATCTCTATTCACTGAATATATTTTATTATAACTTAAATAACTGCAAAAGCAAGACCTGCTCGTTGCTGAGCTGAAAAGTTCACAAATAAATCCAAATTGCTTGTTACCCCAACAGTAGGAGGCATATTTTGCTGCCTACCCTTCAAGTCTTCTTTTCTCTTTAAAGCTGGGATCATATTCTTGTGTAGCCTGCATTTTTCTCTTATTATTTTCATCTTTTTATTTTTTTGAGAGACGGGATCTTGCTATGTTGCCCAGGCTGGAGTGCAGTGGGTATTCACAGGCATGATTACAGCTCACTGCAGCCTGGCACTACCGGGCTCAAGTGATCCTCCCACCTCAGCCTCCCGACTAGCTGGGACTACAGGTGTGCACCACCAGTCCTGCTTTCATTTTACTTTAAAATGTTCCTCCAAACCTTGGTGCATTTTGGTGCAATCACACAAGCCGACTTGGCAGAACAGGAAGCCCGGACAGGAAGCCGGGGTGCTGCACACAGTGAGGACTTGGGTTGAGGCCGTACCTGTTGGTTGAGATATCGATGTAGGCGAAGACTTTGGTGTTTTCCCCTGGAAATGCCATTGCTCCCAGAATAAACATGACTTCCTCAGTGTCATCTCAGGGTCCCTCAAACAAGGGCTGAAAGCTGGGTGCTGTGGCATGTATCTGTAGTCCCTGCTACTCAGGAGGCTGAGGCAGGAGGATCACTTGAGCCCCCAGGAGTGGAAGGCTGCGGGGAGATATGATGTGGCACCACTGCACTCCAGCCAGGGGATAGAGAAACACCCTATCTCTTAAAAAATAAATAAATAAAAAATTTTAAAAACCAGAACATGAAAGGCTAGGGGCCTGGAGCTCTGCCTCGCAAATCTCCATTGTGCAGAGGCCTTCAGCCACAAAGCAAGGGCACGGGCTCTCCTCTTCTGCCTCAGATGGCTCTTTCTCTGCCCTAGACCCTGAACCGGGAAAAGGCCTTGTTCCTCCCAGGCAGGCAGTATCTAGTCTCAACCAGTCGCCTTCACTGGGGGCAAAATGCAGGGAAACTCCCCCCTCCCCCACTGATGCCCTCTGGCCTTGTGTTCGGCAGGACATGGATGTGGACATCCTGGCCTTGGTCAATGACACGGTGGGGACCATGATGACATGTGCCTATGACGATCCCTACTGTGAAGTTGGTGTCATCATAGGTAACCCAACTGGACTTGTCTTTGAGGGGTGTGGGAAAGGGGTTGTCTGGGGGCTTGGTTTCTGCAAACTCCTAGCAAATTCTGCGGGAAGGGCGCTGACACTATTTAGGAGAAGCGGCATTGAGAGACGGAACAGGAACGCACTCATTCCTTCCTTCATCCGGTTATTCTGCGCGTGTTTACTGAGCGCCTGTTGTGCGCCGGGCCCTAGCCGGGCGCGGGGTTCACAGGCGTGAGTTCCTGTGCCCCGGGAGCCCCCAGTGAGGAGGTGGGGAGGGGCCAGAAAGGCCTAAACTGAAAAGATAATTTTGGGCAGCGGTTAGGGAAATAAACAAAGCAGGGTGATGTGACTGAGAGTGGGGCCAGGCGGTCAGGGAGAGCAGGGACCTCAGTGACGGACACGAAGTGGAGGGAGTCCCTGAGAAGGAAAGGGGACACTGACAGCCTCTGCCTGAGACCGGAGGGAGTCGGGGTGGCGCTCAGGGACCCCCGAAAGGCTGGATGGTGGCGGAATCAAGTGAGCGCAGGCTGAGGGTAGTAGGCGATGCAAGTGAGAGAGAGTGGGACTGGGCTGATCGCTCGGGATGTGGGACACAGTCCCTGTAAGGTCTCCAGCTTGTGCCCCAAGGGAGACAGGAAGGCACTGGAGGACTTTGGGTGGGGGATGGATGAGTGGATGTGGATTTTTAAGAAACCCATTTTGGCTGCCGTGTGGAGTATTCGTTACTGGGGACGGCAGTGGAAGCAGGGTGACCAGTAGTCTGGGGGCCATTGGACTGCCAGGTGAGAGGCACTGGAGGCCGGGACCAGGGAGGTTGTGGGCAGCAGGGTGCCCAGTGGGTGGTCGGATGTGCTAGAGGGACCCATGGGAAGACAGTTTGGGGTACAACAAGACCAGATTGCTCTGACTTACAGCTGGTTCTTGAATATCCCTTCCCCTTTTCTCATTCCTTTACCACTGTTGGGGGAAGTTTTCTGAATTGCTTCTTCTTAATTTCCAACAGCACCCTCCTCCCCCCAACTTTCCCAAAGGGCAGGGCTTGCAACCTGAAGGGCTTCATCTGCCTCCCCGCTTCCGGGAGCCCCACCCCTCAGAATGGGACAGTTGCTTGCCGGTCATCAGCGGCTGTCCCCAGTGTGTGTCCTTGTGACTGCGTCTGGGAGCCCACAGAGTTTGTGCAAGCCCTCAACAGTGCCATTCTTGCCTGGGAGAAGCTTTTTTTCCAAATATTATTATACATTACATATTATTTTATATGACCAAATATTATTATACATCCTGCCTTTTGCCATTTCTCATTTTTCACGTTGGCATTTAAAATACTCAGACCAGAGTATCAGCCAGGGGATGATGCTAAAAAAAAAAAAAATTTTTTTTTAAACAGTTTTATTGAGCCATAAAAATCCTCTTGTTTTAGGTGTGCAATTCAATGATTTTTAGTAAATTTACAGTTTCATAACCATTGCCACAATCCAATTTTAGAACATTTTCATCATCCCAAAAGATTCCAGAAAGACTGCGCCCATTTGCAGCCGTCCCCAGTGTTCAAGCTTTTGAGGCATTGCCTGGAGTGATGCATTTGAGTACTGGAATGTCGCCATCCTAGACAGTAGCTAATCACTGTCAAAGATAAGGATGTAGCTTATGCTAGGAACTATTTCTGGCAGCCATAAGTAAAGAATATTTTTAGTATCAAACAGAGAGGAAGCTAAGTAGCTTAGGGAAAGAATTTTAAAAACTACTCTGGGTTGCTTTTTTTTATTATTATTATTTATTTGCAAGGTTAGCTTAATTTCTCCTCCTCTTGTGAGTGTGCTCTGTCAGCTCTCATACATATTCATCAGGGACTTCACAATTGACTCCATTCATAGCAGCAAATCATTAACACCCTGAGAAGTACAGACTTGACATGTCAGCTTTATTCCCCATGAACTTGCCAACTCGGCTTCCCTCGGAGAGAGACCCGGCCCCCTCCCCGGAGAGAGTCACAAGCAGTCCGTGGTCCCTTCAGGAGGACTCCCGGGCAGTCAAGAGTTCTCTGTCTGTGCCCAGCGCGGAGCCGGCTCTCTTTGCACATTCTCCCCCGTCCCTCGTTCAGGAACTGGCACCAACGCGTGCTACATGGAGGACATGAGCAACATCGACCTGGTGGAAGGCGACGAGGGCAGGATGTGCATCAACACGGAGTGGGGCGCCTTCGGGGACGACGGGTCCCTGGAAGACATCCGCACTGAGTTCGACAGGGAGCTGGACCTTGGCTCGCTGAACCCAGGGAAGCAACTGTGAGTGCGCCCTCGCCACACCCTCACTCAGGTGCCCCTTTGCCCGGGAGGTGCTCTGGTTGTCACACGATGCGTTTGCAAGGCAGGGCTCCTATTGCAGTCTCATTTGACGAACGAGGAAATGGAAGCCAAGGACGCCAGTGATTTCTCCCAGGTCATAACCCCAAATCTAATTCGGTCGATGTTTCTGGAGTTCGTGTGTGCACACGAGGCACGGGGGGAGATAAGGCTGTGAGCCAAATGACATGGGTCCTGCCCTCTTGGAGACCTCAGACAGAGCTCCACTGAATTCCTCGGATTCCCGTTTCCATGGCTCCCTGGCCACCCTGCTTTCTCCGAGGCCTCCTCAGATGGCATGGGGTGGCCCTGTCTGGGCCTTCCCTCCTTGGGAGCTGTCCGCATGCCTGAGGTCCACTGCCAGCTCCTGTCCCATACGCACCTGCGGTCTGATGACATCGAGGCGCTGGCCTCGGCTCTGTCTGGAGCCAAGCTCCCTGAAGGCAGGCTACGAGGTTGATTTTTCTGTCCTTTCTACACACAGTGTCTTACCCATTATTGCAGCTCAGTAAGTGTTTATCAAGTTTAAACTTTTTTTAAATTTAAAGTAATTTCAGACTTATAGGAAAGCTGCAAAAATAGTACATTTCCCACACCCTCTTCACTCAGAATCCCTAAATAGTGACACACACTTTCTGTATGTGTGTGTGCATAGGTAAGTGCTCATGTATGTACGTATCACATTATTTTCTCTGCACCATTTGAAACTAAGTTGCAGGAATAAGGTCCCTTCACCCCTGAATTCTTCAGGGTGTATTATTGGAAAACAAGCACATTCTCTTACAGAACCCTACGGCAACGATCAAAATTAGGAAACCAGCACTTAATCGTTTCTAATATCTAATTTACAGATATTACACAAGATTCACCAGCTGCCTCATTAATGACTTTTATAAAAATAGAAAAAAGAAACGTCACGATCCGAGCTCCAACCCAGGGTCTCAGGTTACATTTTGCTGCTACGTGTCTCTTTAACCTCCTTTAACCTGGAGCAGCTCCTTAGTATCTCTTTGTTTTTCATGACCTTGAAGCTTAGAGGCCACTCATTTTACAGAATGTCCCTCCGTCTGGATTTGTCTGGTGTTTCCTCACGCTGAGATTCAAGCTATGCCTTTTTGGCAGAACCTCACACACAGTGTGTGTCCTTCCTGATGTTTTGTGTCAGGAGACACATGACATTTGTTCCTCCGTTGCTGGTGATGCTAACTGGAATCACCTGGTTAAGGAGACACCCAACAGGTTTCTCCACCATACGGCTATTCTCTTTTTTTTTGAGTCTCACTTTGTTGCCCAGGCTAGAGTGAGTGCCGTGGCATCAGCCTAGCTCACAGCAACCTTAAACTCCTGGGCTCAAGCAATCCTTCTGCCTCAGCCTCCTGAGTAGCTGGGACTACAGGCATGCGCCACCATGCCCGGCTAATTTTTTCTATATGTATTAGTTGGCCAATGAATTTCTTTCTATTTATAGTAGAGACGGGGTCTTGCTCTTGCTCAGGCTGGTTTCAAACTCCTGACCTTGAGCAATCCGCCCGCCTCAGCCTCCCATAGTGCTAGGATTACAGGTGTGAGCCACCGCCCCTGGCCCGTAAGGCTATTCTTATTCCCGTTGTAATGAGTAGATATCTGGTGAAGAGATATTTTGAGAGTATGTAAGTATCCTGTTCCTTATTAAGCTTTCACTCACTAGTTTTAGCATCCATCGATCCATTGGTGAACCTCTAAACCCATCATTACTATTGTGTTTATTCGTTTTGTTTTGTTTTGAGAGTCTTGCTCTGTTGCCCAGGCTAGAGTGCCGTGGTGTCAGCCCAGCTCACAGCAACCTCAAACTCCTGAGCTCAAGCAATCCTTCTGTCTCAGCCTCCTGAGTAGCTGGGACTACAGGCATGCGCCACCATGCCCAGCTAATTTTTTTCTATGTATTTTTAGTTGTCCAACTAATTTCTTTCTATTGTTTTAGTAGAGATGAGGTCTCACTCTTACTCAGGCTGGTTTCAAACTCCTGAGCTCAAATGATCCACCCGCCTCAGCCTCCCAGAGTGCTAAAATTACAGGCGTGAGGCACCGCGCCCGGCTATGTTTATTAGTTCTTATTCTGCTATGAGAAAGAGCTTTCTTATCTCCTTTATCTATCTATCTATCTATCTATCTATCTATCTATCTATCTATCTATCTATCTATCTATCTATCTATTTATGGAGACAGGGTCTTGCTCTGTCACCCAGGCTGGAGTACGATGGTGTCATTAGAGCTCACAGCAACCTCAGACTCTTGGGCTCAAGTGATCCTCCTGCGTCAGCCTCCCAAATAGCTGGGACTACAGGCTCACACCACTTCTCATTTTTTGTAAAGATGGTATCTCACTATTGCCCAGGCTGGTCATAAACTCCTGGCCTCAAGTGATACTCCTGTCTCAACCTCCCAAAGCGTTGGGATTACAGGCGTGAGCCACCGCCCCCACCTCCTCCATTTATCTATACTAGTATAGACTCATGAGTTGTTGTTGTTTTTTTATTTAATAGGTTCTAATTTCTTTCTATCATTGTTCATTTTGATGCTCAAATTTTTTCAGATTTGTCCAAAGTAAGCCCTTTCAAGTTGGCTCCTTTGTCCTTTTGGTGGGTTCCGTCACTCTTTAAGTGCTTCCTTATTTTCTGGAACAGTGCGGAGTTCCAGACTCTTCTCAAACTTCCCCAGCCCCAGCCCTGGAATCAAACGTTTCACCAAGACATGCTGGTGAACTTTAGGCACCTCCTAGGAGCCAAACTTTAGGCACCTCCTAGGAGCTGCACATGTATGTACAGCACATGTATGCTTTGGCGGGACCTGCTCTGAGCACACGCCTGGGGCACTGGTGACCCAGAGCAGTCACATCTCAAAGATGTGGGGTCCATTTTTTGGATTTTATCATCCTCACTCATTTCCATTTCACTTAAAATAAATTCCATTCCCCTAAATTCAACCTGAATTTCTGTTGATTGTCTTCTGTCTCTTCCATGAGCTAAAACTTGTTTTTTTTTTGAGACAGGGTCTCGCTTTGTTGCTCAGGCTAGAGTGAGTGTCCTGGCGTCAGCCTAGCTCAGAGCAACCTCAAACTCCTGGGCTCAAGCAATCTTCCTGCCTCAGCCTCCCAAGTAGCTGGGACTATAGGCATGTGCCACCATGCCCGGCTAATTTTTTCTCTATATATTAGTTGGCCAATTAATTTCTTTCTATTTATAGTAGAGACGGGGTCTTGCTCTTGCTCAGGCTGGTTTCGAACTCCTGACCTCGAGCAATCCGCCTGCCTCGGCCTCCCAGAGTGCTAGGATTACAGGCATGAGCCACCGCGCCCGGCCAGCTAAAACTTTTTATAGTGAACTATATAAGGTTGGTTATGAAATAGATAGTCCTAGATTTTGTGTCTTACTGTGTTTGGAGAATAAAATTTGCATTTAATAGTTCACCTAGGAAGCAGCCAGCAGCTGCTTGCCGTGTGCACACTCAGAGCTGAGGTGTCAGGGAGCCTCAGGGATGTCTCGTCCGCGTTACCGTAAAACCTCTCTGGGGCTCCCAGCCGGTCTCACAGACGCCGAACCTTTCTCGCTTAAATGGAAGCTCGATGCAGAGCTGGAAGCATCTGAGTGTGAAATTGCATTTGTTGTGCCATGGTTGGGTGATCTGGGGAAAGCACCTGAAGTCTGCGAGGTTGAGGCTCTTTATACCAACAGGAGAATAGCGAGAATGGCGCCCCATGGCCAGGGGTGGTTTGAGACAAACATTCTTGGAATCCAGTGCTTCGGGAGCAGGAAGGAGTCTTAGATCTCCTCTAGCTCAGCCCTCTCCTTTTATGGGTGAGGACAGAGAGGATAGCGTCTCAAGGGCACACCAACCTGGGGCTGGACCGGGCCTCCCTGTCCTCGGTGCGGCCCTTGCCCTGCGCATGCTCCTGACCCCGGGCGGCGGCTCCTGCTCTTTGGGAAATGACAATGCATAACCGCGGGGGTTGCCGCCACTGATCGGCTCACCAAATCACAGGTTCGAGAAGATGATCAGCGGCCTGTACCTGGGAGAGCTCGTCAGGATCATCTTGCTGAAGATGGCCAAGGCCGGCCTCCTGTTTGGTGGCGAGAAATCCTCCGCTCTCCACACTAAGGGCAAGATCGAAACACGCCACGTGGCTGCCATGGAGAAGTAAGCCGCGCCGGGGCCTCCGCTTTGGCTCCGCGGAGGGTGGGGAGCGGTGGCCAAGGCTTGGTGTGCTCGGGGTGGTGGAGCAGAAACAGGGACCCGATCTTCTTCACCAGGAGGATTCCAGACCTGGGCCTGGCTTCAGATGGGTTAGCAATTTCTGCCTTGACTCAGATGCGGCATTCTCATTGGTGTCATCAACCAGGGGCTCTGCTGTCAGAGGGCCACCCTCTCCCCACGTTTTGTTGCCTTCTTCCTAAAGTGGTGATTTGTAACTTTATCTAGGGTCACAGATCCTTTTGAGAACTTTATTCAGGTTCTGAACCCTTCACCCCAAAAATGCACATTTGCACACAATTTTGCTTATAACATAGGGCATCTGTGGGCTCCTTAAAGGCTGTGTATGGAATCGAGTTAGAAACTCCTGCTATCACAGAGCTTTTCCACCTGCTTCCATCGGGGACCTGGTTTGGTCTGGCCATTCAAGGCCTATGCACAGGCCCCTGGAATGGGGAGCTGGCTGGCTGGTGAAGGCGCAGGCCCCAGTCCACACAGGGTCCTGTTCCTCAGGCTTAGAAACCTCAAGTTGCTCAGAGCTTTGTACTCGGTTTAGATTCTGAGCTTAGCACAGTGGCATTGACCCCAGGAGTCCGTATCTGTGCAGAGTTTGGCAGGATGGAATGTCTGTGAAAGACATTATAGCTAGGGTGGTTAAAAGTGTGGGTGCTACGATCTAACCACTTGAGTTCAAATCCTGGTTCTAGCACTTACTAGCTGTGTGGCCATGGGCAAGTTACTTACCCTCTCTGTGCCTCACACCCCTCATCTGTACAATAGGGTAATGACAGTACTTCCCCCAGGATGGTTGCGAGGACTAAATGGATTAATACATGTAGAATCCTTAGACAAGTACCCGGCACAGTGGGATTGCTCAGTAAATGGGTGGCTGCTATTGTCAACGTTGATATTATTGTTATTATATTGCCCTGTGCCAGCCTGTTTATTTTCACAATCCTGAGAGGTGGGAAAGCAGGTTCCCTTGGGAGGATATGAAGTGATGGAGAAGTGCGGTCCTGCCCTTCCTGTCCCCTGCAGGTATAAAGAAGGCCTTGCCAATACGAGGGAGATCCTGGCGGACCTGGGCCTGGAGCCGTCCGAGGCCGACTGCATCGCCGTCCAGCACGTCTGCACTGTCGTCTCCTTCCGCTCCGCCAACCTCTGCGCCGCGGCCCTGGCGGCGATCCTCACCCGCCTGCGGGAGAACAAGAAGCTGGCGCGGCTCCGGACCACGGTGGGCATGGACGGAACCCTCTACAAGATACACCCTCAGTGAGTGCCACCTGCCAGCCCCCGCCCCACGGGCGCGTCTCCCAGAGCAGGGTCCCAGTGTTCTCTCTGGACCACACGGCTTTTTCCGAGCCAGCCTCCTCTTGTTGGCGCTGAGATTACCGGGGAAAGGGTGACTCCAGGGCCGCATTCATCTAGCTGGCGGGGTTGCTTTTGGGAATCACTATTTTTTTTTTTTTTTTTTTTTTTTTTTTTTTTTTTGGACCACAAACCCCCTGAGAAGGAATCCCTTTTTTTTTTTTTTTTTTTTTTTAGAGACAGAGTCTCACTCGGTTGCCTGGGCTAGAGTGAGTGCCGTGGCGTCAGCCTAGCTCACAGCAACCTCAAACTCCTGGGCTCAAGCGATCCTCCTGCCTCAGCCTTCCGAGTAGCTGGGACTACAGGCATGTGCCACCATGCCTGGCTAATTTTTTCTGTGTATTTTTAGTTGTCTAATTAATTTCTTTCTATTTATAGTAGAGATGGGGTCTTGCTCTTGCTCAGGCTGGTTTTGAACTCCTGACCTTGAGCGATCCTCCCACCTCGGCCTCCCAGAGTGCTAGGATTACAGGCGTGAGCCACTGTGCCCAGCCGGGAATCACTCTTAAATAAATATTCTGTCCATGTGTGGTGACTCATGCCTATAATCCCAGAGCTTTGGGAGGCGGAGGTGGGAGGATGGCTTGATGCCAGGAGTTCAAGACCAGACTGGACAACATAGGGAGACCTCCATCTCTACAAAAAATTTAAAAATTAGCTGGGCATGGTGGTGTGCACCTGTTGTCTCAGCAACTTAGGAGGCTGAGCCAGGAGGATCACTTGAGCCCAGGAATTCGAGGTTACAGTGAGCTATGATCACGCTACTGTACTCCAGCCTGGGTGACAGAGCGAGACACTGTTGAAAAAAAAGAGAGAAACATTCTGCCAAAGCCAATTGCCCATCCATCCATCTATCCATCCATCCATTCATCTACCCATTGTTTTTTTGGTTTTTTTATTTTTTATTTTTTGAGACAGAGACTCGCTTTGTTGCCCAGGCTAGAGTGAGCTCCATGGCATCAGCCTAGCTCACAGCAACCTCAATCTCCTGGGCTCAAGCAATCCTACTGCCTCAGCCTCCCAAGTAGCTGGGACTACAGGCATGCGCCACCATGCCCCGCTAATTTTTTCTATATATATTAGTTGGCCAATTAATTTCTTTCTATTTATAGTAGAGACGGGGTCTCGCTCTGGCTCAGGCTGGTTTTGAACACCTGACCTTGAGCGATCTGCCCGCCTTGGCCTCCCAGAGTGCTAGGATTACAGGCTCAAGCTACCTCGCCCGGCCTACCCCTTGTTTATTGAACACCTGCTATGGAGTAAGACTGGGAGGTATGGTACAGCTAGGCATAGATGTGGAAGGATAGGGATGACCAAGGTGTCCAAGTTCACATAAGGATTCTGGCAGGAAAACACAGGGCGATGGAAATTTCCCAGAAGGAAAGAGAGTGAAAGCTCCTTTTTGGCGAATAGAGGTGGAACTGGAATCAAGTGGCTACACTCTGGAAAGAGCTGAGAAAGAAAATCCTTCCCTTCGTTCAGACATGATGCTCAGCCAGTACATCATGCATGGACACGTCCTACTGGTTGAAATGTCAGTTGATGAACTAGGCACTTCCCTGAGCTTCCCAAGTGCCCTTCCACTGCCCAGCTCTGTTAGCCCCTCCTGTCAGCCCTGCCCTCCACCGTCCAGCACATAAAGGCTGGGCTCTGGCCGGGCAGGCCTCCAGGACCCGGTCCACTGCCATCCCCAACCTGTCCCCTTGGCCGAGCCTGGCCTTTATGATTGCTAAACGTTTTGCCATGTCCCCTGCCTTTAGGTACCCAAAGCGCCTGCACAAGGTGGTGAGGAAACTGGTCCCAAACTGTGATGTCCGCTTCCTCCTGTCGGAGAGTGGCAGCACCAAGGGGGCTGCCATGGTGACCGCGGTGGCCTCCCGCGTGCAGGCCCAGCGGAAGCGGATCGACCAAGTGCTGGCTCTGTTCCAGCTGACCCGAGAGCAGCTTGTGGGCGTGCAGGGCAAGATGCGGGCTGAGCTCGAGTACGGGCTGAAGAGGCAGACCCACCCGCTGGCCACGGTCAAGATGCTGCCCACCTATGTCTGCGGGATGCCAGACGGCACAGGTGGGCCAGGCACAGCCCCTCCTCTGAAGAGCTCCCATCCAAACTGCTTAAAGCCAGTTAGGTTTTTGGTTTTTAGAGCCTTGGATTCATGTCTGTAATGGAGAGCAGGGTAGAAGGTTAGTACTCCTTCTGAACCTGTTGGCCTTGGTTAATCCAAGGCATGTGCAGTGAAAAAATATCTAAGTTAGGTTACGTGTGTGTGCATGTGCACACGTGTGTGTGTGTAGGTGAGAACATGAGTGTAGCCCAAGCTGTGAGCAGACAGAAGACCCAGCACCTGTTCCCGGGAGCTCTGGTCTAGACACCTGCTATTGTCTGGGCTTGTCTTCCTGCTGCTTCTCTGTTTCCTGGGCTTGGCTCATTTCCTCTCCTCTTGTCACTGCTGCCCCTGACTCTTCCAACCCTGATCCTTCTGCTGGTCCTTGGTGCTCAGCCGAGAGACACCACTAAATAGCGAAGTCAGTTCTTTGGACAAGTTATTTTCCCTCTTTGTAGCTTACTAGCCTCTTCCAGAAATAATGACCTTAGTAAAATGCTCTACATCTTATCGTTTGCTTTTGAACCTTTAATTTCCTTTCATCCTCACAACCACTTTGTATGTTACTAAAGAGGGAATGGTTCCCACTTCATGGATGCTAAAACTGAGGCTCAGAGAGGTTAGATGGCCTACTCGAGGTCACGAGGCTGGACATTGGATCTCTTAACAACAGAGATCTTTTCCAGAGGAAACATGGGAAACAAAAACTGAGAACAGTAAAAGATACTGTTCAATCATTCATTATCTTATCTCTTTAATTCTTCTGCCTTCATTTCTCAAAGTTTGATTAAGCACCTTGTCCCTGTCAGGCTGTCCAGGCACAGCGGCAGAGCAGGGAAGCGCAGGCCCTGCCCCCAGGGAGCTCGCAGCCCATGGGTTGGCAGACGGTGAACGAATGAATGCCATGCAATGTCAGGTCGTGGCAGGCGCTATGAAGAAAAATAGAGCAGGGTAAGGGGTCAGAGAGCTGGCTGGGAGTGACGTCTTTGGCAAATTCAAGGAACAGCAAAAAGACCAGTGTGTCTAGAACAGAGTGAGTGAGCAGAGAGCTGGGTGAAGGGTTCTATAGAGCAGATTCAGATGCTTCGAGACGTCAGAAAGAGGAGAGGCCCTGCACTCGGGTGGCCTGTGCCTACTGAAAGGCAGGACTTGATGTGGTTTCTTATTTGTCAGGCGGTGGTGTGGGGATCGGGGCAAGGGGAGGGGCAGGAAGAATCATTTCATGCCTGTAATGAGCAATTCCCCTAGGCCAGACGGGCAGGCTGGAAACACTTTCCAGAGCCCCTTGCAGTCAGGGTAGCCTGGCCTAGGTTCACACTCTCGGAGGCTCCTTGAGTTTAAGTATCACGCATGTCCTTTAGCAGATATCCTACACCTGAACACAGTCACCTGGGCACCCTAGAAGGCCGTCAGAGCCCAGAGCTGGCAGAGCCTTCAGAGATCCAACCTCCTTACTCGGCAGATATGGAAAGACGGAACCTGGCCCCTCTTGCTCAAGATAGAAAGCTGTTTCTTCAAATCCCAGATCCCTGGACTCCGGTGCAGGGCTGTTTTCATGGCAGCTCACGGGCGATAGTGTAGGTGGGGCCTGGGCCTTTGCTACAAAAGTGAAGGCCACGAAAGCAGTCTGGCTGCAGACAGGCTAAGGCACCACCCAGGGCCCCGACTCTGTGCTCGGTGACCACCATGACCCTCTGGTCTGCGAGCCCCAGGAGGGCAGTCTCTGGGTCTGCATCTCCTCCTCCTCCCAGTGGCCTGACGTGCGTCCCTGCTTGGTGCCTGCCAGCGGAATGCAGCCCCCACTTTCTCCACCACAGAGAAAGGAAAGTTCCTCGCCCTGGACCTGGGGGGAACCAACTTCCGGGTGCTCCTGGTGAAGATCAGAAGTGGACGGAGGTCGGTGCGAATGTACAACAAGATCTTCGCCATCCCCCTGGAGATCATGCAGGGCACTGGCGAGGAGGTAAACGCCAGGTGGGGGGTCTTGGGCCCTGCGGGCACCAGCCTGTCACCCCGAATAGTGCCAGGCTGCCATGAATGCCACTCTCTCCCTGCAGCTGTTTGACCACATTGTGCAGTGCATCGCCGACTTCCTGGACTACATGGGACTCAAGGGAGCCCAGCTACCCCTGGGCTTCACCTTCTCGTTTCCCTGCAGGCAGACGAGCATTGACAAGGTAAGTGCCCCACCAGGCTCACAGCCAGCCCGGAGGGGCTCCCTTCCTCCACCAGGGGCATCTCAAGGTAACTCTGAGTCACTCTTCATTTTCTATAAGGGTCTGAGGTTCAGGACAGCTGGGGACACCTGATAGAGCATTTCAACCACTTCATTGTTTCTATTTATTAGGTTCCATTTCTCACTCTTGTTTGGATTGAAATTCACGAAAGAATTTAGAGTAGTATGCAATGAAGGGACTGATGCACAATGCTGCTGTTAAAAGAGAGGTCTCCTGCTTCTTGTTTGAGATATAATAAGCTACACTTTTGATTCAAAATGGACATTTCATATTTAATGACCTAAGAGCAACCTAAATTTTCATTTAGGATAATGGTCTCCAGTTTCATTCAAAAAATAACAACAACAACAAAAAGAGAGGTCTTATTATATTATGAAGAGATGGAAAGAGGTTATAGTTAAGACCTTAACCGGTTATAACTGGCCTTAACCAGTTAAGGCCAGTTATAACAATTGGGGAGTAGTATTATCTGCGTGTTCCTGGACAGCCAGCATAAATGGGGAAACCCAGTAGGTTGTAGGGTTGTTGTGTCTGATGAAAGAAAGCTCCCCAGTGCGGCATGAGAAATGCGTTTCATTCCTGATATTAGCATCTCAGAAGGAATCCATCATATGGCTACTCTAGTTGACATTGAAGAACATCATGAGTAATGTTTAATAGATAACTCATAATAATTTAGAAACAGTTATCCTACTGTGGCTTGAAACAGATATCCTACAGTTATCCTCAGTGGCTCGTGCAGGGGAGCGCTGTCTCTCTGACAGCCTCACAACAACCAGGCTTCCAAGAACTGGCACAAAGCAGAAAACCCCTTCCTAAATCTACAAAGAGATCTCTGGTCGGCACAGCAAGGCAGCCAGAGAGCTCATGACATTAGTAAGTAGAATAGCCCCAAAGATTTAATAAGATTTTGCCTAATACACTCAATGTCCCCATGACGAACACACTGGGGGTTTTTTTTGAGACAGAGTGTCACTCTATCACCTGTGTCAGCATGTGGTGGCATCAGCCTAACTTACAGTGAGCTAAAACTCCTGGGCTCAGGCGATCCTCCTGCCTCAGCCTCCCAAGCAGCTGGGACTACAGGTGTGCACCACCATACCGGGCTAATTTTTTCTATTTTTAGTAGAGACGGGGTCTCGCTCTTGCTCAGGCTGGTCTCAAACTCCTGAGCCCAAGTAATCCTCCTGCCTTGGCCTCCCAGAGCGCTAGGATTACAGGCGCGAGCCACTGCACCCGGCCAACACATTGGATGTCTTGTTTTTGTTTTTACAATTTTCTTATTGTGGTGAAATATATATAACATAAAATTGACCACTGTAACCATGTTTTAAATTGTATAGTTCAGTGGCACCAAGTACACTCACACTATCGGGCAACCGTCACCACCATCCATCTGTGGAACTTCTTCATCTTTCTCAACTGAAACTCTGTACCCATTAAACACAGATTCTTCATCCCCCATCCTCCATCCCCTGGCAACCACCATCCTCCTGTCTGTCTCTGGGAATTCGATGACTCCAGGTATCTCATGTAAGTGGAGTCATATAGAATCTGTCCTTTTGCGTCTGGCTTATAATGTTATAATGTCCTCAAGGTGCTTCCATGTGGTCGCATGTGTCAGAAGTTCCTTCTTTTGTAAGGCTGAATAACATCCCATCATGTGGCTAAACACCATTTTTAATCAACTATCATTTTGTAGTTGAGAAAAATGGAGGCACAGAGAGGTCACCTAAGTACCCCGTGTTGCCGTAACTGTGAATGGTGGGGGAGCATTCCAATCCTGGACACCGGCCTGCAGAGCCCAGCCTGTCGCACTGTGCCTTCTTGGGGACCAGGACCTGGAGCCCAGGAAGCACACTCTTGATGCTAGTGTTTTGAACCACTTTGGGTGTAATATACTGGACACCCACATGTATATGATCAAAACAAAAACTCAAGAAATAATACCCTTGTTATATGCATTAGATCCTATTCACTATTCTATTTCATTTTTCACACAGGAAAATTGAGTTTTGCAGGTCTCATCTGATGGGTAGGTGCCAAGTCAGAGCTGAAATGGGGAGCACTCTGGGGCTGGGAGTGCTGTCAAAGCCCATGCCCCAGCAGGCTGACCCTCCTGCCCCATCACTCAGAGAATGGGGTGAGAAGGGTTCAAAAGACTCAACCCGACTGAATCTGGTATATGGCTGGATCTCTCAAAATTAAAAATGCACACATCCTTAAGAGCCACCAGATCTCCTTCTCAAACACATGCCCCAGGAGGAATGAACAAGGACATTCATTCAGCAAAACATACTTTTATATAAAAAAAAAAACAAGGACATTCACTACAGCACCACTTTAGTAATGAAAAAAATCTCGGAAGCACGTGTGCCTGGCTTCTGGCCGAGCCTCTGCTTTGCAGCCTGTTGGAATGGCCGCCCAACAGGCTGCTACTCTTTATGAGAAATAAAGCTCTTCTTTTTCCAAAGTGAAAAAAAAAGAAAAAAGAAAAAAGCCAACTGGGCACAGTGCCTCATGCCTGTAATCTTAGCGCTTCGAAAGGCTGTAGCGGGAGGATCGCTGGAGCCCAGGAGTTAGAGGTTGCAGTGAGCTGTGATGATGCCACTGCACTCCAGCCTGGGGAACCGAGTGAGATCCTGTCTCAAAATTAAAAAAAAAAAAAAAATCTAGTTTTTTTTTATCTAATTTAAAAATTAGAAATAATCCAAATGTCTGGCAATGGGGAATGACTAAATAAACAATCGTATATCAATCCTACAGAATTAACTACTTGATTTACTTAACAAACACATACATAGTGCCTGTTCTGTGCGAGACACTGTTCTGAGTGCTCACGGATATTATCTTACCTGATTGGGAGGCAGCAGATGCAAGAGTTAAGAGCATGGCCTGCGATCAAATCTTGGCTTCTCCACTTACTGGACGTGTTACCTTGTGTCAGTTATTTTATTTTTGAGACAAGGTCTCACTCTGTCGCCAGGGCTAGAGTGCCGTGGCATCATCATAGCTCCCTGCAACCGCAAACTCCAGGCTCAAGTCAGCCTCCCGCCTCAGCCTCCTGAGTAGTTGGGACTAGAGGTGAGCACCACCATGCCTGGATAATTTTTCTCTTTTTTTGTAGAGATGAGATCTCTCACTCTTGCTCAGGCTGGAGTTGAACTCCTGAACTCAAGTGATCCTCCCTCCGTGGCCTCCCAGAGTGCTAGGATTACAGGCATGAGCCACCTTGCCCAGCCCTTCAGCCAATTATTTAATTTCTCTTTACCTTGGTCTTCTCATTTAAAAATTGAGAATAAAATAGTACTTATTTTATAGGTATGTTTTGTGGATTTATTTCTGTACAATTATATTTCAGGAATATTTTGCTCAGTGAAGCAATGTAACAGATCCATATTAACTGACGTGGAAAGGTCTGGAAGATGCATGGTTGAATGAGAAAAACAAATTGCAGTAGTTCACACACAGTGTCAACTTATTTACTTAAAAATATGTGTGTAAGTGGGCTGGGTGTGGTGGCTCACGCCTGTAATCCTAGCTCTCTGGGAGGCCGAGGCGGGAGGATTGCTCAAGGTCAAGAGTTCCAAACCAGCCTGAGCAAGACCCGTCTCTACTAAAAATAGAAAGAAATTAATTGACCAACTAAATATATATATACAAAATGTTAGCCGGGCATGGTGGTGCATGCCTGTAGTCCCAGCTACTCGGGAGGCTGAGGCAGGAGGATCGCTTGAGCCCAGGTTTGAGGGTTGCTGTGAGCTAGGCTGACGCCACGGCACTCACTCTAGCCTGGACAACAAAGTGAGACTCTGTCTCAAAAAAGAAACACAAAAATATGTGTAAGTGGAGAGAAAAAGGTCTAGAAGGATTCCTATCAGGCTGGTAATAGAGGTTACCTCTCAGATTAGAGAGATGGGAAGTTAAAGGAAACTTTATCCTTATCAGTATCATTTTAATTTTTTACACGAGTAATGCTTTCCTGTATTGCTGCTGCCATTAATAATTAATATGCTGTGGGGAAGGGGGGAGTCGGGTGCCGCGTGCAGCTGTCCGAGGTCCTGACTGGGCACCAGGACGCAGCTGCTGCTCCCGAATAGGACACTGGGCCTCGGGCCCCTGCTGCCAGCAGCTCTGACCCGTCCGTGAAGACACAGGTAAGAGGGAGAAGGATGCCAGTGGACAGCTGGAAGCAAAGCCACCGGTGGCTGAGGAGATAAAAAGGAAGACTTCAAAAATATATTGTTTTTGTATAATTGCAATTAATAAGAAAGAGAGGGCTGGGCATGGTGGCTCAGACCTGTAATCCTAGTACTCTGGGAGGATGAGGCAGGAGGATAACTTGAGTTCAGGAGTTCGAGACCAGCCTGAGCAAGAGCGAGACCCCACCTCTACTAAAAATAGAAAAATTAGCTGGGTGTAGTGGTGTGCACCTGTAGTCCCAGCTACTCCGGAGGCTGAGGCAGGAGGATCGCTTTAGGCCGGGCGCAGTGGCTCATGGCTGTAATCCTAGCTCTCTGGGAGGCCGAGGCGGGCGGATTGCTCAAGGTCAGGAATTCAAAACCAGCCTGAGCAAGCGCAAGACCCCGTCTCTACTATAAATATTAAGAAATTAATTGTCCAACTAATATATATAGAAAAAATTAGGCCGGGCATGGTGGCGCATGCCTGTAATCCTAGCACTCTGGGAGGCTGAGGCGGGCAGATCGCTCAAGGTCAGGAGTTCGAAACCAGCCTGAGCAAGAACGAGACCCCGTCTCTACTATAAAAATAGACAGAAATTAATTGGCCAACTAATATATATAGAAAAAATTAGCCGGGCATGGTGGCGCATACCTGTAGTCCCAGCTACTCGGGAGGCTGAGGCAGGAGGATTGCTTGAGCCCAGGAGATTGAGGTTGCTGTGAGCTAGGCTGACTCCATGGCATTCACTCTAGCCTGGGCAACAAAGCGAGACTACGTTTCAACAAAAAAAAATGGAGGATCGCTTTAGCCCAGAGTTTGAGGTTGCAGAGAGCTATGATGACGTCAGCGCATTCTACCCCGGGCAACGGAGCAAGACTCTGTTTCAAAAAAAAAAAAAGAGAGGTTTTCAGCTGGGCATGTCTCTCTGACATTCCACATATATCAACCAGGAAAGGAGCTGGGGGCCCAGTTTCCCAAGGGCTAGAGAGGAGTGGGGAATGGGCCTCGCTGGCTTTGGCCCAAGTGAGGTGGCATCTGGCCAGGGGTTGGTTGGGGTTGCTGTCCCAGGGTCTCGCCTGGCCTAGACACCCCAGCCTTGCCTGCCCTCACCCCAGCCCCTGCTTTTTAGTCTGTGGAGTCTGGGGCCAGACTAACTCCTGCCTCAGTGTAACCTTGTAACAGTGTAACCTTGGGCTTCCTTTTAAAAATTAAAAATACTACTTTCTCAGTATTATAAAAAATTATGCATGTTACTTTTATAAATATTAGAAAATATAGACAAACAAAAAGGAGAGACTAAAAATCACCCATAATCTTACATCCAGAGGGAAACACTGTCAACACCCTTGGTGTGTATATTATTCCAGACCTTTTTTCCAGATCCAAGTGTGTATGTGTGTAATTTTAAAAATAAAAACAGAATAATTCATTATTGGTATTTGCTTGATATGCTTGCACTTAACAGTGTATGGTAAACATCTTTCTCTAGCATCCAACATTCTTTCACAGCATGATTTTTTATAGGTGTATAACATCCTATATTGATATACAAGATGATTGACCTATATTGTTGGAATTATAGGATGCCTCTGGTTTTTCACTGTGGAACTTGCTTTAATCAGCATTTTGCAACTTTGCCTTTGATCACATCTCGATCTGTCCTTGACTAGATTAGAAGTGGGATCACTGTGATCCCAGGCCTTTGTTCTGTGGAGTCATGGTCAGAATACAATATGAGTTGCTGCAATGATTCCACTCAGCAGTGGACCTTGTCTGAGCATTGTGCTCTGGGTCACCTCTGAGCCCAGGGTTAGGGCTGCGGAGGTGGAGGCACAGTCCAGAACACACGCGCTTGCACTTGGCTAGCAATCAGCCGTAGTGCCTTGTATCTAGTAGATGCTGAGGTTGTGCAGTGGCCCTTGCAAACTATTGTTCAAATGAATTTCCCCTCCTTTCTTTCAGGGAACACTCGTAGGCTGGACCAAAGGCTTCAAGGCCACTGACTGTGAAGGGGAGGACGTGGTGGACATGCTCAGGGAAGCCATCAAGAGGAGAAATGTAGGCTATGGTGTTGAGGCTCTTGCCTGACCTTGCCCCCTTCCCCAGCCCTTCTGCTCTGCTATCCTGTGCCCAGTCCCTGTGACTCTGGCCTCTGCCCACCTTGGGCTGGGGTGCCCCTCCTAAGCCTGTTTGGCTTGCACATTCTGCTTACAGTAGAGCTGCTTCTTTTGCAGGAGTTTGACCTGGATATTGTTGCAGTTGTGAATGACACAGTGGGGACCTTGATGACCTGTGGCTATGAAGATCCTAACTGTGAGATCGGCCTGATTGCAGGTATATGGTCGGGCATAGCCCATTGGCCTAATCCCATCTGGTCCTTTGGAGGTTCCCTTGTAACATAGTGAGGAATGGGTGGCATTCATTGTTCCATCATATGAAGGCTCTGTCCACGGCAGCGATAAAAGTCAAGATTGGAACTCTATCTTGCCTACCTTCTAAATCTTTACTTAATATCTTTCTCCATGAAGGTCCTAAGCCAAGGTCCTCCTTTCTGTTGAGGAAGGAGAATGACCTACGAAGAAGGGATTTTCAAGTTAGGGCCTTGGGGCAGAATGTCTTGGGAGGAAGAAGACCACAGTTGGATCGTGTTGGCCTGGGGCTGAGGGAGCTAGATTTTCACTCTGGCTCCAATGTGCACCTCCTCTGTTCTCTGAATTCTTCTGGTTCTCAGAGTACACAGGAAGGGGAAGGTTGGAAAGAAACTTAGAAGTGGGAAAGGGAGTGGCCTGAGGTAATACAGGCATACCAGGGGTCTTTGGGAGAAGTCTGGCAGTGATTAAGGCCCAGGGTGGATTCCAGGGGATGACTCTCTCTAAGAGGTGGGGGATGGGTGGAGATGAGGATGAGGGCATTCCCGGTGACAAGCAGGTGTTTGAGTAATGATAGAATCTGGCGAAGTTGTTCCATGTGGTTGCCTGAGCTTCCTGAATATAAGGAGCAGGTGGAACAAGGAGGTAGGGCTATACTGAGATAACTTTGATGCCAGGTACATTTCATCTCGGCCCCTACCCACTCTGAGCTTGGGCAGGTTGCTTATACTGTCTGACTTGAGTATCCTCATCTGTGGGAGGGTTGGCCTAGATCTAAGAGGGCAAAGAGGTAAGGCCTGTTGGAGTAGAATAGTTGCCGGGACTGCTGTGTTAAGAATAGTTCTGGGGCCAGGGCAGGGGCAAGGAGGAAGAGGGTGGCTCACAGATGCCAAGCGTTTGTGAATCCAAGACTAGATGATTCCCGTGGTCCCTTCCAGCTCTGACTGCTAATTCCATAACTACATGGAAGCTCGTGTGCCTACAGCTTAACAGTGGTGATGATGAGGAGGGGGAGGAAGACGGCTGGTACCCTTTATCGAATGCTTACCATGTGGAGGAAACTTACAAATACCACCTCAGTTTTTCTTTTTAACAAATCCATAGGGCAGGTATTATTTCCTTTTTTTTTTTTTTTTTTGAGACAGAGTCTCACTTTGTTGCCCAGGCTAGAGTGAGTGCCGTGGCGTCAGCCTGGCTCACAGCAACCTCAATCTCCGGGGCTTAGCGATCTTACTGCCTCAGCCTCCCGAGTAGCTGGGACTACAGGCATGCGCCACCATGCCCAGCTAATTTTTTTTTTGTATATATATTTTTAGTTGGTCAATTAATTTATTTCTATTTTTGGTAGAGATGGGGTCTCACTCAGGCTGGTTTCGAACTCCTGACCTTGAGCAATCCGCCCGCCTCGGCCTCCCATAGTGCTAGGATTACAGGCGTGAGCCACCACGCCCAGCCTATTTCCTTTTTTACAGATTAAGAACCTGAGACTCCAAAAGACTGGTCTGAGGTCAGCCAGCTATGACAGTAAAGCTCAAATCACCCCTAGTAGTGTCTGACTCCAAGCCTAAATTCTCGTTGGCTGCGCTCCGCTGCCTCTCTAAGATCTGGCGCTGTCTTGGAAGACTAAAGACCCTTCGCTGCTCTTCCTAGGAACAGGCAGCAACTTGTGCTACATGGAGGAGATGAGGAACATCGAGCTGGTGGAGGGGGACGAAGGGAAGATGTGCATCAACACGGAGTGGGGGGGCTTTGGAGACAATGGCTGCATAGATGACATCCGCACCCAGTACGACACGGAGGTGGACGAGGGGTCCCTGAATCCTGGCAAACAGAGGTGAAAAGGGTGAATGTGTACACTTACGCAGGTTGCATAGTGAGCAACTCAGATCGGGGGTGGGAGGATACCATTTTCATATCATAGACACTATAGCTTTGTATGTGTATTACAACACTCCATCAAGTGCCAGTGAAACATCTTATTGGGACAAAAGAAGAATATTATGGTAAGTTTCCAGCAGGTAGAAGGGAGGGGTCCCTTTCCTCTAATGACCATAAGGTACCATAAGGGCTAGTGGTGGCTCTGGAAGTGAGGCAGAGGCTGTCAGAATGCCCATTAGCCAGGGACATAGTGACTTAGTAAACCCTCTCTGGATGGGCTTCTAGTAGGTCTAGTTTACAGGTCAACATCCTCAGTCTTTCAAGAGCTGGCTGCCAGGTTGGTGACCTCTTCTGGGGGTGGCAAAGTGGCTGCCTGTGACGGATGAGGGTGCTGATTCTCCACTGTGACATCATGTCCTACTATGGGTTACAATCGCTTGTGAGGTGTATTCCAATTACTAACTGCACTAAAAACACTGAAAATAATGAATGGCTTAATAAATCAATTAGAGTAGATTTTGCACTCTGGTATACCTTCTTGAGCAGGAGAAAAAACGGTAGATAGAGGCAGAGCTAGCATGCCAGGACTTGATAATTACCCTGGCCCGTCCGGTAGGACAGGGGTTGGCAAAGCTATTCAGTAAAAGACCAGATAGTAAACGTTTTAGGTGTTACAAGCCATAGGGTCTTTATCACAACCAAGCTCAGCACCTTAATGTATAAAATAAGGGAAAACGGATTGATTGCGGTGGGTGCTCTCGGGGGTGAGAGGTTGAGCAGACGGGAACTGTGACGGATGCCTGGGCTGGGGACACCTTGGGAGCTGCTGGACTGGGAATGCTGTCTAGGAAGAGGCTCGGGCAAAGTGGGAAGCCCAAATCTGGTGGTTCCTTGCCCTCCTTTGGCTCTAGTCTTTGTAGCTGGAAGGCAGGTGAGTTACAGCAAGCCCGGCTGAACCAGAGATTACTCCAACAAGAGGGGGCCTTATCTTTGAGTCCCAAATTGGTACAACTGAGTATCATGGCTCTTCGCAAGAGGCCGTGTCCCTCTGACTCAGTTTTGTGTTGGTGTCACCGAGGGCTCGTGTTTTTGGGCTCTCATTTTGGAGAGTTTAAGGGGGCAGCACACTTGAACCTGCCTTGCAGCCACCATCGTTTGTTTCTTTTGGTGTTGGTTCCTTAGACCCATGAGGTCCTGAGCAGTTAAGAGAACCCAAGCAGGCAGTGGCAGTCCAGCTCTGTGTCATTGCCATTAACGATGGCGTGTGTCACTGTGACACATCCCTGTGTAGAGAGCCTTCCCCAATGCCTGGTCGGTACGAGGCCCCTTTCCCTAATGGTGCTCACAGCCTGATGGATCGGGGGAAGTAAACTAACACCTTTTAGTGCCCCTGATGTTGTGCAGACAGTTGAAATGTGCTATCTCACGGAGCAGAATTTCTAGTGGAGCAGATTTGTAATAGAAAGCCAAGGAGAACTGGCTTTGGGGCTGGGAACGGGACTGACTGTTGCTAGTGCCTGCCGTACACCAGCTGCTTGGCGCCTAACAGGGCTGCCGCTCTGTTCCACGACGCAGATGAGCGTTTACGGGCTCACTCTCCATGTGCACCCAGTATGTGGCTGGGACCTGGGTCCTGGTCACTGTGGCTCCAAAGCCTGGCTTTCCTGAGTCGTGCTGCTTTCTGCTTTGCATTTCTGGCCTCCCCAACCTTATTCCTCCTCCCCAAACAGATACGAGAAGATGACCAGTGGGATGTACCTGGGGGAGATCGTGCGGCAGATCCTGATCGACCTGACCAAGCAGGGCCTCCTCTTCCGAGGGCAGATCTCAGAGCGTCTCCGGACCAGGGGCATCTTCGAAACCAAGTTCCTGTCCCAGATCGAAAGGTGATATGTGATCAAGTTCAGCTCTGACTGGGGTGTGCTGCCATGAGACTGGGGGCAGTCCAATTTGAGATTTAAAAATAAAAACAGAATCTCCAGGTGGCAGGGCAAATTAAAAAAAATAGATAAAACCAGAAAAGCCCTGGCCAGGCAAGGAGCCACCTCCCGGGGCCACTCGTCTCTCCAGCTGCATCAGGGTCACTGTGCTGAGGTCCATGCACACAGCTGTGGGCCAGCAGCCTGCCTGGGCTGCAGAGCGCTTAGAGAAACGACCAAGTCCTCCTCTGAGGGTCTCACATGGTTAAGACAGGAGTTAGAGTAAGACTAAAAACTAATACTATTTTATTCCTGAAAAAGTAATGTGTCCATTATATGAAAGAAAAGTCCGGAAAAAAAAAAATCACCCATATGCTCACTACCAAATACAGCTACTTTGATTTTTTGCATATGATGTTCCCTTTTAAGTTCTTGGAAGCATGCATAATCACAATCCTACTACATGTAGCACTCTGTCTAGTATTTATTCAGTGCTTGTTTATGAAAATTTTCATTTACAATTTTGTTTTTCATTTTACTTTCCATTATGGAAAGTTGTAAGAATATACAAAAACAGAGGTAGAAGTAAAATGAATTCAATGTTTCCGTCAACACCTTCAACAATGATCAACTCACGGCCAAGCCAGGCTTATCTATATACTCCTGCCATCCCCATGCCCAGGTTGGGTTAATTTGAAATGTATCTCACATTTTACATCAGTTCATCTGTAAGTGTTTCAAAATGGCTGGGCGAGGTGGCTCACACCTGTAATCCTAGCACACTGGGAGGCTGAGGCAGGAGGATCATTTGAGCTCAGAAGTTTGAGACCAGCTTGAGCAAGAGTGAGACCCCGTCTCTACTAAAAATAGAAAGAAATTAATTGGCCAACTAAAACTATATATAAAAAGTTAGCCGGGCATGGTGGCGCATGCCTGTAGTCCCAGCTACTTGGGAAGCTGAGGCAGAAGGATCACTTGAGCCCAAGAGTTTGAGGTTGCTGTGAGCTAGGCTGACGCCACGGTACTCTAGCCCGGGCAACACAGTGAGACTCTGTCTCAAAAAAAAAAAAAGCGTTTCAAAATGTATTTCTAAAATATAAGGGTTCTTTAAAAAAAAAACATAGTCATAGTATCTATCATTAGTGCACCTGAAATAGCTAACAATAAACCTTAATCTCATAAAATATTCTGTTACTGCTTCTATTTCCTGAATTGCCAAAAATTAATGGTTTTTACAGTTTTATTGTTTGCATCAGTATCCAAACAAGGTCCATACATTGCATTCAACTGATATGTTTCATTTTTTCTTTTTTTTTTTGAGACAAAGTTTTGCTTTGTTTCTTGAATCTCATGTAATCTATAGGTTTCCTCTCTTTCTCTTGTTTTCCTTTACAGCATGTTTGTTGAAGAAACTTATTTTCTTATCCTATGAGTTTTCCATATTCTAGATTTTGCTGATTGCAGCATTTGGCATTTTCCTTTTCTCTTCTATTTCCTGAAAACTCATAGTTAGACTCAGATGCTGGGTTAGATTCAGTGTTGAACTTTGGACAAGAATATTTCATAGGTGGCATTGAGTTGTCTGTCTGTCTTTTCTTTTAGGATGTTATTAGTCATTGGTGCTTATTGCCTGGATCTGTTATTTCACTAGAGATTGTAAAATGGTGATGATGTATGCTATCGCTCCTGCAGTTATTAGCTGGATACTTCGAGAAAGAGAGACATATCCTTATCAACTCTTTAATGTAATTATCATTTCGAATGGCTGCATAATGTTACATTATGTTACCATACTATAATTTGCTAAACTTTCCTTTCAGTATGCGGTATCTACCTTGTAATTTATAAATATCCACTATTCTGAGTAACACCACAGTTATTCTTTTTATACATACACTCATTTGCATATTGTGAATTATTTCCTTAGTAGTGGAAACATTTGGTTAAAAGAAGCATTCCCCTATGGATATGCTATTTTTTAAAAAGGTAGTTCCAGACCAGGCACAGTGGCTCATGCCTATAATCTCGCCTTTGGGGAGGCCAAGGCAGGAGGATTGCTTAAGGCCAGAAGTTCAAGACCAGCCTAAGCAATATAGCAAACCCCCCTATCTTTACAAAAAAGAGAAAAATCATCCAGGCATGGGGATATGGGCCTGTAGTCCCAGCTACTACAGGAAAGGTTGAGCAAGAGGATTGCTTTACTCTAGAAGTTTAAAGTTGCTGTGAGCTATGATGACACTACTGTACTCTAGCCCAGGCAACAGAGTGAGATGCTGCCTCCAAAAACAAGTAAATATATGAATAAATAGAAAGGCAGTCTAGTTTCTAAACCACTGATTAGGTACACATGTGTCAGTTTCATTGCTTTTTGTACTAGCACTAGAAGTTCTCTGATGCTTTGTGTTTGGATTTTTCTCTCAATTTGCATTCGTTCATTTAATTCTTCTGGTCTTTACAGTCAGATGCCCACAAGCAAAAAATCACTTTGCAGAGGGGAAAAAAGGAAAACACTTTATAAACAAAAGCGGTGTGCTTAATGAGGAGAATCAGATGAGCTGTACTAGGGGAGTTCTGGTCTGAGGAGATGGGGGCAGAATCAATAACAGCAGCAGTGATTTTGTGTTTTTGAAGTATTGATTAGCAGGTGTTCAGTACCCTTCTATCTAGTCTTCAACCCATCAGATCTGAACAAACAGGTTAAAGGTCATCACCTTTGGTGACTAGATGGATCCTTTTTTGCCATAGAAAACAGCTTCTCCCTCATGTGCAACAGATAAGCAAGCCTACTTATCTTTGCCTTGGTTTTTGCTTTGCTTTGTTTTTTGAGACAGTCTTGCTTTGTTGCCCAGGCTACAGTGAGTGCCGTGGCGTCAGCCTAGCTCACAGCAACCTCAATGTCCTAGGGTCAAGCAATCCTTCTGCGTCAGCCTCCTGAGTAGCTGGGACTACAGGCATGCACCACCATGCCTGGCTAATTTTTTCTATATATATTTTTAGCTGGTCGATTAATTTCTTTCTATTTTTGGTAGAGACAGGGTCTCACTCAGGCTGGTTTCGAACTCCTGGCCTCGAGTGATCCGCCCACCTCGGCCTCCGAGAGTGCTAGGATTACAGGCGTGAGCCACCGCGGCCATCCTGCCTCGGTTTTTGTTTTTTGTTTTTCACCTGAGTACAAAGAAAGTAGTTTCTGGACAAGTGCAAGGTGGCAACACCCATATGCTCCAGGAATATTTGCTTCTACTGCACAAGAGGTATCCTCTTTGGTTTGTTTTTGTTTTTGTTTTTCTAAGGTTGATCAAGTGAAGCAGTGGGAGTGGAAAAGGAATAAAGGAATCTGTAAATGGTTGTGATCAATTAGTTGCAAACACCACTGTACTTGAACCAACTGAGGTATCCTCTTTGGATGCTTTGATTTCTACAGGTTGTTTTCTTTTTTTTTAAGCAAATAAAACCCTCATGAAATAAAAAGTAAGTCATATTCACCTAGTGCCAGTTGGAAAGTGGTAGGGACAGGTGCTGACTGGGGGCCATTTCAAAGCATGCTGTCTAATGGGTGGGATAGTGATTCTCAGGGGGAGCCCTGAGTTTACAGTCTCAGACCTTGAATTGAAGATTTTTCTCTATTGCTTCACCTGTTTGTGCCGTGTGGCCGGGGACAGGTTGCTTTACCTGTTTGGACCTCAGTGTCCTTCCTTATGAGAGAAATAACTGCTCTGTTGCTTAACCCCCAGAATTGCTTTGAGAATTGAATAGGGGAATGTTCAGGAAAGAACTGGGTAAACTGTAAAGTCTGGGCCCTGGAAGGAATCGCAGATTTCCTCTTTATACACACCAGTAAGAAACCTTTTTTATTACTCATTCATTTTATTTTTTTTTAAATTTTTTATTTTATTATATTTTTTAAATTAAAATTTAATATTTGCAGAACACCTGACAGTCATACTCATTCATTTTAGAAAGTCTAAAAATTACAGATAAACAAAAGAAAATAAGATTTACCTGTATAAGATAATAAGATCCTACCAACATCAACATCTGAATAGATTATCTTCTGCTTTTGTTCTGTGCAAGGATAACATGAAAATAAACAAACAAAAAACCAAGGTCACACAGCACATAGGATTTTTTTTTTTTTTTTTTTTTTAGAGACGGGGTCTCGCTCTTGCTCAGTCTGGTTTCGAACTCCTGACCTCGAGCAATCCGCCCGCCTCAGCCTCCCAGAGAGCTAGGATTACAAGCGTGAGCCACCGCGCCCGGCTCTTACATAGGATTTTTATAATCTATATATTTCACTATATCACGAACATTTTCTTTTCTTTCTTTTTTTTTTTGAGACAGAGTTTCCCTTTGTTGCCCAGCCTAGAGTGAGTGCCGTGGCATCAGGCTAGCTCACAGCAACCTCAAACTCCTGGGCTCAAGCAATATTCCTGCCTCAGCTTCCTGAGCAGTCGGGACTACAGGTGTGTGCCACCATGCCCGGCTAATTTTTTCTATATATATTAGTTGGCCAATTAATTTCTTTCTATTTATAGTAGAGACGGGATGTTGCTCTTGCTCAGGCTGGTTTCAAACTCCTGACCTCGAGCAATCCACCTGCCTCAGCCTCCCAGAGTGCCAGGATTACAGGCGTGAGCCACCGCGCCTGGCCCCTGTATCATGAACATTTTCCATGGCATTAAATATTCTCATGCAAGCTCACCTTTAAGGTTGATAAAGAATTTTATTATCTGGCTATACCACTATTGACCTGTCAAATCTCATATATGGTGATTGTTGTTTCTAGGTTGTTTATTCTTGATAACACTCTTTCCTCCTAAGTATTAGCTGGGACAGTCAAGGATATAACTTCGTATTGTTTAGCTTGGCAGTCAGAGCTCTGTTACCGTTAGTTCACTGAGAGTTGCTCAGGGTCTAGACTCGAGGCCGGCCTATCCTCATGATGGGTGTTTCTCTGCATGTGTTTATGGTCATACTTGGTTCCCATTCTCTAAGGTGCTGATTGTATTTTATATACTGAGTTATTCCCTTGCCCATTGAATGTACCAAAGCCTGTTTGGCTACTATTAAAAATATAGTCTCACCCTCAAAGAGCAGAGACATCAGAAAAAGGGAAGAAAAAGCAGAGAATCAGAAAAAAATGAAATAGAAGAAAAGTTGTCCTCCAATTGAATGGGGCCAGAGTATAGGAGCTGGCGTGGTTCGTGAGAAAGTGCTAGAGTTGGTGTGAGAAGGCTCGTGTTTGAACCCCGGCTCTCCACTGTCTGGGAGGGCAAGGCTCTATCCGCCGCTCTGAACCTCAGACTTCTCTTCTGAAAATGGGTACCCGGCATATTGGTTGCTGATTCTAATATAGCTCCTAGTAAGATAATAGATATGAATGTATCTAATGGAAGAGGAGCTCACACTTTATATTTTAAAGAAGATGGAACTTCCTGGGGTGGTGGAACCTTCTTGAGTTTCAGCTTCTAAGGCATTCTGCCCCAACTCAGCCATTGCCTGGGTCGATTTTTCCTCCCTCCTGCGAGGAGGGTGTCTGAGACCGGGGAGGCTGTGAGTCATGTGGAGCAGGTTCCGGGGCCCCGGGAGGCAGCAGGTCCTGACGTGCTGCTCTGCTGCCCGCAGCGACCGGCTGGCCCTGCTCCAGGTCAGGAGGATCCTGCAGCAGCTGGGCCTGGACAGCACGTGCGAGGACAGCATTGTGGTGAAGGAGGTGTGCGGAGCAGTGTCCCGGCGGGCGGCCCAGCTCTGTGGTGCGGGCCTGGCCGCCGTGGTGGAGAAACGGAGGGAAGACCAGGGGCTTGAGCACCTGAGGATCACCGTGGGTGTGGACGGCACCCTGTACAAGCTGCACCCTCAGTAAGTGCCCGGGAGAGGCGGGGTTTGGGTAGGGGGCAGGGGAGGTGCTGGGGGCTGAGTGTGGACGTGGCATGGCCTCCGCAGCCACAGCATGGGAAGATGTGTCCCTGTCCTTTTATGGGGAAGGGGTGCGCAATGTGGGAATATTAGCCAGCTCTGCACCCTAGCTTCCTCATCTGTAAAAGGCCAGCGGTGATAATCCTTTCCTCCGAGGGCTAAATGCATGAGGATTAAATGCATTAATGTAAATGCATTAAATGCATAGAATGTAAAGTGCTTCACACAGTGCTCAGAAATACAAGTTGGCCGGGTGAGGTGCCTCACGCCTGTAATCCTAGCACTCTAGGAGGCCGAGGCGGGCGGATTGCTCGAGGTCAGGAGGTCGAAACCAGCCTGAGCAAGAGCGAGACCCCGTTTCTACTAAAAATAGAAAGAAATTAATTGGCCAACTAATATATATAGAAAAAATTAGCCGAGCATGGTGGCGCATGCCTGTAGTCCCAGCTACTCGGGAGGCTGAGGCAGGAGGATTGCTTGAGCCCAGGAGTTTGAGGTTGCTGTGAGCTAGGCTGACGTCATGGCACTCACTCTAGCCTGGGCAACAAAGCAAGACTCTGTCTCAAAAAAAAAAAAAGAAAAAAAAGAAAAGAAATACAAGTTATTACTATTTTTGTCATATTCCCACTCAACCTCACACAGGGTAGTAAGGAGACCTGATCATTTTGCACAGCACAAAGCGTTTATCAAGTCTAAGCTTGTTGTAATTTTCCAAGTTCGGAGTCGGTGTGGACAGAAGGATTAAGAGCCCTGGCAGGCGGTGTAGACCTGAATCCTGGCTCCACCACTTAGAGGCTGGGAGGCCCAGGCCCAGTTTCTCGCCATCTTTGAGCCTCAGTCCTTTTCCTCTAAGCCAAGAACAAAAATTATACTATTTCATGGGTTGTTGTGAAGATTAAGTTAAATAGTATCTGTAGAGTGTGTGACACTTCACAAAAGCATCAGTAATGAAAGCTTTTATTTTTATTCAACGTTTTACATTTTGTTTTGGTGAAGAGAAAAAGTATACAAATTTCCAATTGTGCTGAATCGTATTCATGAACGTACCTTTACTGCAATCCTTAATCCTTAGCCCTTCATGTGATGCAGACTAATTGTTCAAAATAACCGAGTGGTGTTTTCTCTTGGTTTTTCCCTTGGGGCCACATATTTTTGGTCTGGTTCCTATAAGACCCTCCCTTAAACCAAGACCTGACCAAGGGATAGAAAACCACATGATCATTTCAATAGGTGCAGACAAAGCATTTGATAAAATCCAATGCCCTTTCATGATAAAAACATTCCTCAAACTAGGAATAAGGGAATTTCCTTAAGCTGATTAAGGGCATCTCTGAACACCCACAGCTAACATCCTACTTAATGGTGAAATAGTGGGGAATGGATGTTTTTCCCTTAAAATCATGAACAAGAAAAAAAAAAAGAAAAAAGAAACAAAACAAAAAAATAATAAAATAAAATAAAATCATGAACAAGACAAGGATGTCCACTCTTACCACTGCTACTCACCACTGTACTGCCTCAAGCAAGTACAGCCTCCAGATCATCACTTGGTTTTTATCTCTCAGTCAAGTCTTTTTTTTTTTTTTTTTTGGAGACAGAGTCTCTCGCTTTGTTGCCTGGGCCAGACTACAGTCAGCCTAGCTCACAGAAACCTCCAACTTCTGGGCTCGAGTGATCCTCCTGCATCAGCCTCCCAAGTAGCTGGGACTACAAGTGCTCACCACCATGCCTGGCTAATTTTTCCTATTTTTAGTAGAGATGGGGTCTCACTCTCGCTCAGGCTGGTCTCGAACTCCTGACTTCAGGCAATTCTCTCACCTCAGCCTCCCAGAATGCTAGGATTACAGGCACCCGGCCTCTCAGTCAAGTCTTAGTTCAAAGGAATGGCTTGTAGGAACCAGACCAAAAGTATATGATCCCAAGGGAAAAATTAGGAGCAATCTAGTCATGGAAATTAGGCAAGAAAAATAAACAAAAGATATCATATTGGAGGCCGGGCACAGTGGCTCACGCCTGTAATCCTAGCACTTTGGGAGGCTGAGGCGGGCATATTGCTTGAGGTCAGGAGTTCGAAACCAGCCTAAGCAAGAGCGAGACCCCGTCTCCTCTATAAATACAAAGAAATTAATTGGCCAACTAATATATATATAGAAAAAATTAGCTGGGCATGGTGGCGCATGCCTGTAGTTCCAGCTCCTTGGGAGGCTGAGGCAGGAGGATTGCTTGAGCCCAGGAGTTTGAGGTTGCTGTGAGCTAGGCTGACGCCACAGCACTCACTCTATCATGGGCAACAAAGCGAGATTCTGTCTTAAAAAAAAAAAAAGATATCATATTGGAAAGGCAAAAGTAACACTATCTTTATTTGCAGATGACATGATTTTGCATATAGAAAACCCTAAGGAATCTGCGCATAAACACACACACACACACACACACATACACACACACACACACATACACACACACACACACACACACACACCCCTAATAGAACTAATAAACAAGACAAGTCCAGTAAGTTTCAGGCTATAAGATCAATATACAAAAATCAATTGTGTTTGAAGCAAGAATTGTTTGTAAAAAAAAATCAATTGTACTTCTATACACTTTCAATGAACAATCCAAAAATGAAATTAGGAAAGCAACTCCATTTACATCATCATCAAAAGGAACAACATACTTAAGAATAAATTTAGCAAAAGAATAACAAGACATACTGTGAAAACTACAAAACATTGTTAAAAGAAAATAAAGAAATTTAAATAAATAGAAAAACATCCCATATTCATAGATTGAAGACTTAATGTTGTTAAGATGGCAATACTCCCCAAACTGGTCTGTAGATTCTACACAACCCCTATCAAAATCCCAGCTGGCCTATTTGTAGAAATTAACAGACTCCTAAAACTCATATGGAAATGGAAGGGACCCAGAATAGCTGAAACAATCTTGAATAAAAAGAAGAAAGTTGAAGAACTCACACTTCCTGATTTCAAAACTTATAAAGCTACAGTAATCAAGACAGCATGATACTTGCATAAGGATAATTGTATAAATCATTGGAATGGAATTGAGAGTCCTGAAATAAACCCTTACATTTATGGTCCAATGGCAAGGGTACCAAGGCCATTCAGTGGGGAATCATAGTCTTTTCAACAAATGGTGCAACAATTGGATATCCACATATTAAAAAAGTGATGCTGGACACCTACCTCACACCATGTTCAAAAATTAACTTCAGGCCGGGCGCTGTGGCTCACGCCTGTAATCCTAGCTCTTGGGAGGCCGAGGCGGGCGGATTGCTCAAGGTCAGGAGTTCAAAACCAGCCTGAGCAAGAGCGAGACCCCGTCTCTACTATAAATAGAAAGAAATTAATTGGCCAACTGATATATATATAAAAAATTAGCCGGGCATGGTGGCGCATGCCTGTAGTCCCAGCTACCCGGGAGGCTGAGGCAGAAGGATCACTCGAGCCCAGGAGTTTGAGGTTGCTATGAGCTAGGCTGACGCCACGGCACTCACTCTAGCCTGGGCAACAAAGTGAGACTCTGTCTCAAAAAAAAAAAAAAAAAAAAAAAAAAAACTTCAAATGGATCAAAGATCTGAGTGTAAGAGGTAAAACTACAAAACTCTTAGGAGAAAACACAGGTGTAAATCCTGGTGAACTTGGATTAGGCAGTGATTTTTAAAATCTGACATCAAAAGCACAAGCAATAAAAGAAAAAATAGAAAAATTGTACTTTATCAAAAATGTAAAACTTTTGTGCTTCAAAGGATATCATAAGAAAGTAAAAAAATAATTCACAAAGTGGGAGAAAACATTTCCAATCACATTTATTCATAAAAAAGAATGAAGAACTGACACATGCCCAACATTGACAAACCTCGACAACATCATGTTAAGTGACAGAAGCCAGACTCACAAATGGCCGCAAATTATACAATTTCATTTTGTGAAATTGTCCAGAATAGGCAAATCTATAGACACAGAGAGTAAATTAGTGGTTGCTAGGGGATCCTAGGGCTTGGTATGAGTTGGGGGTGACTACTAATGAGTACAGGGTTTTCTTTTAGAGTGATGAAATGTTCTGGGATTAGATAGTGGCAATAGTTGCACAACTTTGTGAATATACTAAAAACCACTGAATTGTATATTTAAAAAAATAAAAAAGACTTAATGGAGCAGCGACTGCCAAGCCATTTTCTCCTTTCTCCCCAGGCAATTTGGGGATAACTGTCCTTACTATGCCTCAAACTTTCTTTTCTCATGTAGCTGGCAGAGCCCCAGGGAGTTCCTGTGGTAGTTAGAGTTGGTTCAGGACCTGCTTGGGCATGTTGGCCCTCAGTGACAGCCACCATCTGTACCCCAGGCAATCCAGGGTCCCAGGACCAAGGCCTAGGTGCCCAGGACTCCAGTAAACACATCTCCACCCCACAGACTGACCAGATAACTCTGACTCTCAACGTGCCCTTTCAGATGGATTTAGTATCTCAAAAGATAGTTGAGAAAGGCCAAGTATCCTTGAGATTAAGATTGTATGCTTTTGGCCAGGCGCGGTGGCTCACACCTGTAATCCTAGCACTCTGGGAGGCTGAGGTGGGCAGATGGCTCAAGGTCAGGAATTTGATTGTGACATGTAAATCTTCTCCGGCAGTTAAAAATATTATATAAAAAAAGAAAAATATAAAATGTAAAAAATATTTTAAAAAAGAGAAAAAAAGGAGTTTGAGAGCAGCCCGAGCAAGAGCGAGACCCGTCTCTACTAAAAATAGAAAGAAATTAATTGACCAACTAAAAATATATAGAAAAAATTAGCCGGGCATGGTGGCGCATGCCTGTAGTCCCAGCTACTCGGGAGGCTGAGGCAGGAGGATCGCTTGAGTCCAGGAGTTTGAGGTTGCTGTGAGCTAGGCTGATGCCACGGCACTCACTCTAGCCTGGGCAACAAAGCGAGACTCTGTCTCAAAAAAAAAAAAAAAAAAAAAAAGAGTTCAAGACCAGCCTGAGTAAGAGCAAAGACCCTGTCTCTACTAAAAATAGAAAAATTAGCTGGGCATTGTGGCTGGGAGCTGAGGCAGAAGGATTGCTTGAGCACAGGAGTTTGAGGTTTCAGTGATCTAGGCTGAAGCAACTGCACTGTACCCAGGGAGACTGAGTGAGACTCTGTCTCAAAAAAAAAAAAAAAGAAAGAAAGATCAAACATCACCTAATGTATAAAAATAAATAAATTTTAAAAATATAAATAAATAAAGAAATCTGGCCAGGCGCAGTGGCTCATGCCTGCAATCCTAGCACACTGGGAGGCTGAGGCGGGTGGATTGCTCAAGATCAGGAGTTCAAAACCAGCCTGAGCACGAGCCAGACCCCGTCTCTACTATAAATAGAAAGAAATTAATTGGCCAACTAATATATATAGAAAAAATTAGCCGGCATGGTGGCACATGCCTGTAGTCGCAGCTACTCGGGAGGCTGAGGCAGAAGGATCGCTTGAGTCCAGGAGTTTGAGGTTGCTGTGAGCTAGGCTGACGCCATGGCACTCTAGCCATGGCAACAGAATGAGACTCTGTCTCAAACAAAAAAGAAAGAAAGAAAGAAAGAAAGAAAGAAAGAAAGAAAGAAAGAAAGAAAGAAAGAAAGAAAGAAAGAAAGAAACGAATCTTTTCTCTTTTCCCCATTAGCTGGAATGGGCACTCCAGGAGAATAAGGACTGGGTCTCATTCTTTCTACTGTCCCCAGCCTACCACAGTGGCTGGCAGTAGATAGCCATTGGACAGTTCTCTAAATGAAGTAATGAATGAATACTTAAATCAGCACATGAATGAATTATTGCTTTCCTCTGAATCTCTTCATTCTCCTGCCTCCCCCAATAGCACCTAAGCCTTATATATAATCGATACTTTATAAATAATGGTTCGGTGAATGCCAAATCCTGTTGTAGGCACTGACGACCCAAAGAAATACTAATATAAGATACCATTCCTGGCCAGGTGTGGTGGCTCACGCCTGTAATCCTAGCACTCTGGGAGGCCAAGGTGGTCGGATTGCTCGAGGTCAGGAGTTCAAAACCAGCCTGAGCGAGATCCCGTCTCTACTAAAAATAGAAAGAAAATAATTGCCCAACTAAAAATATATATTCAAAAAATTAACCAGGCATGGTGGCGCATGCCTGTAGTCCCAGCTACTCGGGAGGCTGAGGCAGGAGGATCGCTTGAGCCCAGGAGTTTGAGGTTGCTGTGAGCTAGGCTGATGCCATGGCACTCTAGCCGGGGCAACAGAGTGAGACTCTGTCTCAAAAAAATAAAAAGATTATGTGCTTTTAAGCCCAGCACCACTCACGTAGGTAATCCTAGCACTTTGAGAGGCCAAAGCAGGAGGATTGCTTGAGGTCAGGAGTTCAAAACTGGCCTGAGCAAGAGTGACACCCCCATCTCTGAAAAAAACAAAAACAAAAAAACAATAAATAAGTAAATAAAAAGATAGTGTGCTTTGGGGGAAAATTAGTGGAGAGGGGGTAGATGAATGACAGATAAAGCAAATAGGGTAAAATTTTAACTTTGCTGAGTATAGGCAGAGAGTGTACAGATGTTTATTATAGTATTCTTTCAGCTTTTCTATAAGTTTGAAAAATTTTCAAAATAAAACGTTGGGGGAAATTTTGAACAAAAAAGGGGAGGGTTTTGGAAAGAGGCAGGCCTGATTCAAATCCTGATAAACTTACTAGTTGTATAAATTTGGACACATTTCTTAACTTTTGAGCATCAATTTCTTTAGATAGTAGAAGTAGTGATAATTATTTTTAAAGTATTATTTGTTACACTTTGTCATTCTATTTGTAAAACACAGTCCCTGGCATTAGCAGGTGCCCAATAAAAGGCAAAGTTGTGCCAGATATTTAAGAAACTATCTGTGGCTATTATGAAAAAGACAAGAGATAACAAGTGTTGGCGAGAATTTGGAGGAAAAGGAACTTTAGTACACTGTCGGTGGGAATGTAGATCAGTACAGCTATTATAACAAACAGTATGAGGGTTCCTAAAGAAATTAAAAATTTAACTACCATGCGATCTAGCAATTCCTCTTCTAGGTATACATCCAAAGGAGGTGCAATCACCACCTTGTAAAGGTATCCTCACTCCCATGTTTATTGCAGCTCTATTCACAGTAGCCAAGACATGGAAACAGCCTAAAGGTCGATCCACAAATGAATGGATAAAGAAACTGTGGTACATAGACACAATGGAATATTTTTCAGCCTTAAAGCAAGAAGGAAATTCTGCCATTTGCCATGACATGGATGAACTTGGAGGACATTATGCTAAATGAAATAAGCCAGACAATGAAAGAAAAATATTGCATGATCTCACTTATATGTGGCATCTAAAACACACACACACACACACACACACACAGAGATAAGGAATGAAACGGTGGTTACCAAGGGCATATGTGGGGGGAAGGAAATGGGGAGGTTGTGGGTCAGAGGATACAAAGTAGCAGATGTACAAGATGAACAAGTCTAGAGATCTAATGTGCAACATGGGGACTATAGGTGATAATATTGTATTGTATTGGGGATTTTTGTTAAATAAGTAGGTTTTAGCTGCTCTTGTCATAGAAAGGAGTAACTATGTGAGATAACAGGTATGTTCATCTGCTTCACTATAGTAACCATTTTACTATCTATCTGTATGCCATAACAGCATGTTTGTAAACCTCAAATATATACTATAACATTTATATATATATTTTTTAAAAGGCTGGGTGTGGTGGCACACTGGTGACTATAGTCCCAGCTACTGGGAGACTGAGGCAGGAGTATCGCTTGAGCCCAGGAGTTCAAGTCCAGCCTGGGCAGCATAACAAGACCCCACCTCTAAAAAATAAATGGAACAAATTCTAAAATATTTTTGAATAAAAGAAGCTGTTTAGAGCATTGAGAATCAAGGTGGGAGGAAGAAACTAGATCACAATCATTTTATAAATATGCTGATCCCAGAGGTAAGGGCTGATGATATTTCTCTGCCTTTTTCGTAGCTTTTCTCGGATATTGCAGGAAACCGTGAAAGAACTTGCCCCTCGGTGTGACGTGGCGTTCGTACTGTCGGAAGATGGCAGTGGGAAGGGAGCAGCTCTGATCACCGCCGTGGCCAAGAGGTTCCACCCACCATGCAACGAGAACTAGGAGCCCCCAGGGCTGGGCCTGATGCCCCCTGGGCACCGCCCAGCCTTCCCAATAGCAGATGGGTCAGTCAGAGACCAACAGGCGACCTCCTGGCCGACTTCACCTCCTGGGTGGCTGAAAGAGAACCCCAGCTTCTCGGCTACTCAGCATCTTGTTACTGGCTTTGCGGTGGCATTACATGACATCTGCATTTGGTGTATTTGGGCCAAAGACGGACCAACTTGTGAAATCAAAGTGTTCTGTCCTGAGAGATCCCCTTTGAGCAAATTTTTCAGCTGAGACCTGAGCTGTCAGTTCTCTGTGGCTTTAGGGCCTATGGCTGCTGGCCTTGGAAACATACGGAGTCTGCTCACGTGGGCCTGGCTGGCTGATTTCCCCACCGGGACGTTGAAGCCATCTCTTACAGTAGGTTGGGCCCTGTACTTGTGGATGAGCATCTGAGAAGGTGAATGACTCATGTAATGAATTAGGGGGGATCTAATCTACCTTGTCCTTAACTTGTCATGTTGACTTCAAACCTGAAGAGAGAACAAAGACTTTGGCCTGCCCAGCCCCAGCATGTGGAGAGGTTGATTGCCAGGGAGCTCTGTAGGAACCTCTTTATGCTTAAAGCGACTTATGCCAGCACCCTGTAGGATCTTGTTCCTTAAGCAGTGTGTGCCATGGGGTAGGGTGCTATTTGGGGCATCTGTTTGTCATTTTACAAGTGGTTGTTTTGCTGCTGTTGACAGTTGTTTTAAGGACTGTTAGGTATTTGAAATCTAGTAAATTAATAAAACAAATATTTGATTTTCCAAGATGCTTTGCATGAGGTGCTGATATTTCTTCTGGGAGGCTCACTCGGCGACTCCACGCCCTGTTGGTGGAATAAAGGATGCATAGAGTGAGAAGGAGCCTCCTACCAACGGGGTAGTATACGGAATATTTTCTACAATTTCCCTAACAGATTATCCAAATTTCATTTGAATACTTCAGTAACTGAGCATTCACCATGTGATCCCACAGCTCTCCCTTTTGGACAGCTGGAGTTCACTGGGGTCCTTTTGACCTTCAAACTGACCTCTGTTTCCTGGAATGAGGTCACTCCTACACACCCTGCAGTCTCCATTCTACACTGTCCGTGACCATTTCTCCAGCCCACGTCCTCTCTCTTTCTCTCTCTTTTCATCTCCTCCTTTATCTGAACTGCCTGTGACTTTCTGTTTTGTCACAAAGAGATCTGTATGAATTTCTTATCTGGCCATGTAGATTGTTAAACTCTTTGCCAGACACATTTTTGTATTGCCCAAGTGGACACAGCGCCATGCCATTCTTATTGAATACTTATGGAGGGAGGAGGCATGATCGAAGACCAAAACTTTTTAAAATAATTTTCTCTGGGAAAAAGTATAGACTATTATCATGGGAAACAAACTGAAAAGAATAATATTTTAGATCATCCAGGTTGATTTTGTTTTGACTTATGTGCTTAATGATACACAAGTTCAAGTCCACACGGGGTTGTTGGCTATTTCTCCATAAGGCTGTGATTGCCAGCGCTAAGTGTCACCATTTGCTGAAACAGGATGTCCAGACAGACAGAATGGAAGAGGCTGAGTCCAAAGGGCGAGAGAGAGGCCAGCCAGGGCTGGGGACAGATGAAAGAGCTGCCTGGGAAATACTTTTTCACACATTCAATAAGCATGTATGGTGATACTACTGTGAGCAGGTCCCAGATCTACCAAAATTAATTTCTTTTTTTATATTCGAAGGTTATACCTCTCTGGAGAAATGTTTTATGGATTTATTAAATTTAATTTTTTTGTATTTTGAGGTTATGCCTCTCTGAAGAAATGTTTCACCTTATCAGATTTTGTCTCAGTCAACCAAAAACCTCAGGGTCATTGTCATCTCTCCCCCAGTCTCCCATTCCTTGGTGAGATACCCTCAGCTTCTGATCCCCCTTCTCCTCTCCCCTGGATCTGCTGGGGTTCTCTCTCTTTGCCATTCTTCCTGACAGATGATCTGACCCAGAGGTTCAGGTTGCTGCACCACCAAGTTCTCCCATGACCTGGTCTCTCACTCAGCACAGGTTTGACAGGTTAGAGGAGGTCAACTAGCTGCTTCTCTCCCAGCTCTGCTCTCTTATTTTTTTAAAAAAAAAAAAAAAGGCCAGGCACTGTGGCTCACGCCTGTAATCCTAGCACTCTGGGAGGCCGAGGCGGGAGGATCGTTCAAGGTCAGGAGGTCGAAACCAGCCTGAGCAAGAGCGAGACCCCGTCTCTACTAAAAATAGAAAGAAATTAATTGGCCAACTAAAAATATATAGAAAAAAATGAGCCGGGTATGGTGGCGCATGCCTGTAGTCCCAGCTACTCAGGAGGCTGAGGCAGCAGGATCGCTTGAGCCCAGGAGTTGGACTTTGCTGTGAGCTAGGCTGATGCCACAGCACTCTAGCCCAGGCAACAGAGTGAGACTCTGTCTCAAAACACAAATAAAAATAAAAATGAAGGATCCAAGGTATCTAGGCAACCTTGCACATTCTGACTAATTGATGGCATCACAGAATCCTTGGTCAGGCACTAGAATCCCAGAGAGGACACACATCTCTCTTGGCATTTTTGGATGGGAAGCCCCTGAAACACCTGGGGCAATGGAGGGCTAACTTCTCCTCAAAGTTTACTAGGCAAGACCAGCAACCATACAATAAGGTAAACTGTCCTCATGAGAACCCCAAAGACTGTTCCTCTTATGAAGGGTATCTTTCTCTGTATCTAGCTCTGTTGATACTTCCTCCCAGGAGACTTTTGCCCAGAAAGAGCTGATGAATGTAGATTTTATTTAAGAATGAGATTTTCCCCATGCCTCTGTCTCTCCAGAACAAGTGACTTCATTTCCATTTGTCTTTCTTCAGAAATCTTTTCTCTTGGCTGGGGGCGGTGGCTCACACCTGTAATCCTAGCACTCGGGAGACTGAGGCAGGAGGATCACTTGAGGTCAAGAGTTCAAGACCGGCCGGGCGCGGTGGCTCACGCCTGTAATCCTAGCTCTCTGGGAGGCCGAGACGGGCGGATTGCTCAAGGTCAGGAGTTCGAAACCAGCCTGAGCAAGAGCGAGACCTCGTCTCTACTATAAATAGAAAGAAATTAATTGACCAACTAATATATGTACGAAAACATTACCGGCCATACGTGGTGCATGCCTGTAGTCCCAGCTACTCGGGAGGCTGAGGCAGGAGAACGCTTGAGCCCAGGAGTTTGAGGTTGCTGTGAGCTAGGCTGACGCACGGCCACTCACTCAGCCTGCGGCAACCAAGTGAGACTCTGTTCAAAAAAAAAAAGAGTTTCAAACCAGCCGAGTAAGAGCAAGACCCTGTCTCTACTAAAATAGAAAATTAGCTGGGGCATTGTGCTGGGAGCTGAGCAGAAGGATTCTTGAGACAGGAGTTGAGGTTTCAGTGATTAGGCTGAAGCAACTGCACTGTCACCCAGGGAGACTGAGACTGAACTCTGTTCTCAAAAAAAAAAAAGAAAGAAAGATCGAAACATCACCAATGTATAAAAAAATAATTTAAAAATATAAATAAATACAAGAAATCTGGCCAGCGCAGTGCTGCATGCTGCAATCCTACACACTGGGAGGCTGAGGCGTGATTGCTCAGATCAGCAGAAGTATCAACAAGCCTGCCACGACCACGACCCCGTTCTCACTATCCACACGAAAAACACCAATTGCCAACTAACATATAACTAGACAAAATAGCCGGCATGGTGGCACATGCCTTGTCGCCAGCTACTCGGAGCTGAGGCAGAAGGATGCTTGAGCCAGAGTTTCGAGGCTGCCTGTGAGCTAGGCTGACGCATGGCCTAGCATGCAAGAATGAGACCTTTGTTCGAACAAAAAAGAAAAAGAAAGAAAGAAAGAGAAAGAAAGAAGAAAGGAAGAAAGAAGAAGAAAGAAAGAAGAAAGAGAAAAGAGAATCCTCTTCTCTCTTCTTCCCATTAGCTTGTAATCGCGGCCACTCCGGAGGACATAACAGGACTGGGTCTCATTCTCTTTCTACTGTCCAGCTACTACAGTGCTGGCAAGTAGATAGCCATTGGACAGTTCCTCTACAAATGACGTAATGAATGATAACTTAAATCAGCACATGAATGATATTGCTTCCTTGAATCTCTTCATTCTCCTGCCTCCCCAATAGCACTAAGCCTTATTATAATCGATACTGTTATAAATAATGGTTCGCTGAGCCAAATCCTGTTGTAGGCATACGGACCGACCAGAAATACTAATATAAGATACCATTCCTGCCACGGTGTGGTGCTCACGCCTGTAATCCTAGCACTCTGGGAGGCCAGGCGTCGGATTGCTCGGGTCAGGAGTTCAAAACCAGCCTGACGAGATCCGTCTCTACTAAAAAGAAAGAAAATAATTGCCCAAAAAAATATTACCTCAAAAATTAACCAGGCATGGTGGCGCATGCTGTAGTCCAGCTACTTGGGAGGCTGAGGCAGTAGGTCGCTTGAGTCCAGGAGATTGAGGATGTTCTCGTGACTAGGCCTGAGCCCATCGGCACTCACTCTACAGCTCGGCAAACAAATGAACTCTGTCTCAAAAAAAAAAGACACCATTTCTGCCCTGTAAGAACTTGTAGGCTAGCAAGGAAAGAATGACATAAATATCTGTCATACAATATGGTGAACAGGAACAAGTTGACGACAGTTCCCGACCATGTCCTACATCCTTTAGATCGGGAACTCTCAACCTTGTAAGTGTGTGTGTATGTGTGTGTGCACGTGCCATATAACCCTTGGGCACTCACGTGAAACCTATGGATCCTTTCTCGGAATAATGTTTTTAAATGTATCAAATAATAGGATTACAAAAGAAACCAATGGTATTGAATTACAGTCATTAAAATATTAAAGTGCCAGGTGCATTGGCACATGAAGATTTGCTTGAGGCCAGGAGTTTGTGACCAGCCTGAGCAACATAGGAAAACCCTGTCTCAAAACAAACAAGCAAGCAAAAAATTTAAAGTGGTGCCATAGTAATACATGTACTTTTAAAGTAATGCATCATATAACAAGATCCAGCAGGAACCCAATAACAATCATAATTTTTGATGTTCCCATGAGTGTAAAGAGCATTTTGAGACATTTTCAACAACAGCATAGATATGAAAATATCTGTGGTTTCCTCTGGAGACAAAGTCGCAGATGTTGCTAACACTACTGTGGTTTGTTGCCCACATTCACGATGGAAGGAAATGCTACATTTCAATTAGAGGTTATCAGAAATAAATTTGTCATTTGCTCCCAGAGAGCAAAGTTTATGGACCAACCCTCTTGGGGGTTCCTGGTGCCCAGGCCATTTAGAGATAGCGTCTAAGAAGGCAGAGAGGCAGTGCAGTCCCGACTCAGAACAACGGGTTCAGTTTGGGATTGACCATGTGACTTTGAGCATACTGTTTAAGCTTCCTGAGCTTCCATTTCCTCGTGTGAAAAAGGATAAAAATATAACAGCCTAAAAAAGGTTATGTGAGAACTATACAAGCAAAATATGTGGATATGTGGATGAGCTGTAAACAACTTGTGCCCGTCTTACCATGGGCATGATCAACTCGATATCAACGTTAGGGTTCTTCCAAGCCTACTGCCCAAACGTGGATGGCCAGCGATCCAACTGGAGAGAACAGCCCTTTCTCAAAAAATTATGTTAAATTAATTCATATATCTACTTTTTTATTCACTCCTACAGTTTCATGATACTATCTGGGATCATTTCCCTTCAACAGGAAGAGCTTCATTTAGCATTTCTTGTAATACA